GACTTGGACTGATCGTCGATCAGATCGTCGGCTTTCCAGAAGACGTACTGCTTGTTGGGGTCACGATACATACGCTTGGGTAGTCCCTCCTGGTAGTTCTCAATGGCAATCTCGTGCACTTCAGGTTCCAGTTCAAAAGAGATCCTGCGATCATCAGAAGACTTCTTTGCGCTGGCTATCCTCGGTGAGGTATAATCCATAGAATCTTCATTGTCGCTATCAAAGAAGGAATCAATGGTAATGGGAGTTGCTTTCTTCTTTGGTGTCTTCTTGCTGGTTCTTTCTGAAGATGCTGAAGGCGATTGATCTGCATGTAGGAATTTACATTTGCTTCCGAACGTGCAGGTACCCTTTTGCCAATTCCAACATACCTTCTTTTTGGGCCCAGCTGAAGATGAACTTCCTCTACTTTTCCCCCTTGATGAATCTCGACTTCCGCTTCTGCCTTTCTTGCCTTTCATCTTGGCATCATAGACCTTCTGAGAATGACTGTAAAGACATTTGTCACCTTTGTTGCATCCTCCTTTATTGAAGAAGTAGTTACAGAAAATCTTCTTCTTGTCAACGGGTGAAGATGATCTTCCCTTCCCACCTTTGCCTTTCTTGTTGTTCTTGTCGGCATGAGATTTCGGAGAAGGTGTTGGAAGTACTGATGCAGCTTCACTCTTCGCTTTCGCCTTAGGACGTTTGGGAGGATCACCTGTAGACGATGCAGCTGCTTCATTCTCCTTCTTGGTCTTGACGGGAGCAGCAGGCTTGTCTGCATCTTCTAAGGCAGGTGTCGTCTTGTTAGAGGACAATGACAGTTTCACTGCACGTTCTCTATCCTTCAACAGTCGTTCTTGCTTCCCTCGTGCTATGTATCCCTTGATCATACCAGTTAGGTAAGCATAGGTCTTCTCATGATGTCCTTCATCAAAGGTTTTGTATCGGTTGATATCGAAGGCCATAAGCTTTGAATGTTCAATCTTCCGGAACAATGTGTCACGCAGGGAGTTGTTGGAAGGCAGATCATCATGTTTCATATTGTATACGATGTCAAGCCACTTGTTGTAGAAGGCCTCAAGTTGGTCATCTCCATAGTAGTTGAACATATACAAATGATGGGCATTGTAGAGAACTTCAGTGTGGTCAGGTGACTTGAAGCTAATCAATATCATTGCGAATAGTTCTCGCCCCTTAATGAAGTCCCCACTTCTCCCATACAATTGGTTCTTCATGGACATGTCATACTTCACTTGCATGGACTTGTCCCCAGCATTGTCAATGACTTTCCTCAAGGCGTTGGAGAGTTTGGCATCAATGGATTGGAATCTCACATCAGGAGCTTTGGCCAGCGCTTCCAAGTCAGGTTGATCTGCAAGACACGGAGCTAGCCACGCTTTCCAATCTTCATAGTTTCGATCTCCACTTGCAACGCAAACTTCATGAACGACACTTCCCTTCCAGGATGAAAGTTCAGTGGTTTTAGGCCAGGGTTGGAGACTGATCTTTTCGGCTTCTCTTAGGGATACGGATGACTTGGATCTATCCCTTTCAAGGTTCTCCAACTCCTTGACATTGGTGTTGTACTCGTTCCTGAGCTTCTCGAAGGCTTCAGCTTCTGCTCGGTATTCCTGCTCTTCATCATTGGCACGATCTTCAGCTTGAGAGAAATTGTTCTTGTAGTAATCTTTCCGATCTTCCATCTTCTTCAACTCATCTTGAAGATTTCGAACTTCAGCGTTCCTCTCTTGCTTCATCTCGTCCAACTCTGCTTTCAGTTTGGCACACTTCTCTTCACATTCATTCCGAGGCATAGCATTACTGGGGTACCCATGTAATGTAGTCGGTCTATTCTTTGATGAAGAATAATGAGCTTGGTTTTCCAACTTCAGGGAAGCAATGGTGCTCGACATCTCTTCTACCTCAGCGTAACGCTCATTGGCCAATTGATGCATCTCGGTCAAGTGGCTTTCAGGAATGGAATAGTCAGTCGCACCTTTGATCACGAGTCTTCTGTCGTTCAACATCTTGATGGACTTACCTGCATCCCTGTGAGCACGCTCAAGAGAATCCTTTTGGGCTTCAAGTTCAGTATGAAGGCGAGCAATAGCTGTGTCCCTGTCATTGAGTTCATTGTGCAAACTGTCGAACAAGTTACTCGTCACATTCGGGTTGTTGCTCATGTGATCGATCTTGTTCAGAGCATCTTGATATTTCTTACCAGTTTCATCGAAATTTCGCTGGAAGACTTTGAGCAGGTCCTCAGTGTCAATGAGTTCGGTTCTGTTCTGCAAGTACAACTTGTCAACTTCTGCCTTGGATTCTTTCAAGCTGTCACGCTCACGCACGGCTTGCATATACATCTCGTACAGAGGTCCTCCATGCGGTGATCTGCTTGGTGAAGATCTTCTGGCTTGTTGACAGGAAAGTTCATGATACTGATTTTTCGATTCAGTCAGTTGTTGTTGCATTCGATCTAAAAGACTTTGTTTCATGTGTAGTTCAGAACGTAGTCCCATTATCCTCATGTCCCGCATGCCGCCTGATTCAGCTAGAGATTCTTCAGAAACCCTGTTCTCAGAAATCGCTAGTCGAGATTGTAAGTTCTCATTGTGGATCACCTGCAATCGAAGTTGCGATTCTTCCAAAGCTAAGTGATGTTCACATTCTGCATAACGGTCATGTTCAGATCTTATGTTACTACGGAACTCCTTCATGATCTCGTCCCTCTTCATGTCAGCAGCATCGAGCTCAGTTTCCAGTCGCCTGACATTCATGGCCATGGTGTGCTTCATCGTCCGGTTCTGATTGGCAACCTCGAGCATCTCGATTTGTAAAGCACATGTTTGGTCATTAGCGTAGCCGACCGCCAGAGCTTCTTGCTTTGCATTCATCTCTGCGTTCTCTAATTCCAGTCTGAGTTGATTGATGTGAGCATTCGCGTCAGTTCCCACATGCACCATAATTGCGTTTGCTTGTCCCATTTGTTCATCGAATTCCGAACGTAGTCGTGAATATTTGAATTCCAAATGAGATGCAGCTTCATTCGACATAGTCTGATACCTTTCCAACTCTTCGATCCTGTAGGTCGCACCTTCGTCTTCTTGTTGTGCAGCCTGTAACTCGAAGTTCAGCATCTGGAGTTGTTCGGTCATCGACATCATCTCTTGATGAGTGGTGCTTTCCAGGAAATTAAAATGTTGATAGGCATATGCTGTCGTCTCGCTCAATCTTGCCTGAAGTACGGATTCTTCTTCAGTGGCCTTTTCCAGTGATGTCTTGTATTCAGCTAGTTCACTCTGGTAGGCAGTGAAGATGTCGCTACCACTTGACGGGGCGTTCACTTGCTGATAAGATCCTGTCCCTGATGGAGTAGCGTCTTGAATCGGTGAAGGCGGATTCGACGACGTAGTCTTTGCCTTAGTCCTTGGGGTCATCGGAGGCGACAATTGTCGTGCAGATGATCTTCTCTTTCCAGGTGTGCTGTCCCTATCTTCAATTGCTTGCATTGTCGAAATTTGTCTCCCTCTAGGAGCAACCAGAGGTCGCCTGGGTTGGCTCGTTCTCAGTTCTGAGGCATCGCTTCCACCAGTGTCGATACTCTGTGAAGAATTTGACTGCGTGCCGGCAGCTGGTGCAACGGCATGTCCAGAGAAAGAAAATGCATTATCGCTGCTATCCTGTTCAGTCATCTGTAAGGCCCGCGGCTACCCGCTCGTAGGCTCCGTAGGAGTCCTACGGCTGATAACCTGTGAACCGGGGATTGTTTGTCCGATTATGTTCTGGTAGTTGGGTTTGAAGTGAATGCTTCGATGATGACGTTACACGGGCAGCAGCTTCCGCATGGCAGTTCTTTGCTCTGATGCTGCAGTGGGTCTTGAGCCAAAAGGGCGATTGTCATACCCTTTGGCTGTGGGTCTTAGAGTGATGAATTATGTGATATTGTACATTGGTCCGTAGCTTACACTCTATTCGCATATACAGTTGATATCATGTATAATATACATATTATGTTTTTCATATAAATTGAATACGTGTATCTGTATGTTTAGAGATACAGAAATCATATGTATATAATGTATATATTACATTTGTGTATATCAAACGTAGATATCTATAGTATATATATATGTATTCACATGCATCATGCTATACACATGTATATATATGCAACGGTGTCTGTGTCATAGGTGACCATATATGTATGTAATGTATGTAATGTTTGTATGTATTGGATGTGTGTAATGCAATGTAATGTAATGTAATGTACTGCAATGCAATGCATGTATGTATACGTACGTACGTATGTATGTATGTGTGTGTGTATCCATGTCTGTATGTGTGTATGTCTGTATGTATGTATGTAGGTAGGTAGGTAGGTAGCCAGGTAGCTAGGTAGCCAGGTAGCTAGGTAGGTACGTATATATATATATATACACATATATATATATATATATATGTATTATCATATAAACACATCCTAAAGAATATACAGTATGTAGTATCAAATGACATGTATCACTTACATACATCACACATTAATCCAAATTGAATATCATATATATACACTATTACATACTACAAATTACATATTGTGATTACATATCAAATATCGTAGTGACAATTATATATAGACCGTATATTGCATGTCATGTATGAAATATTGTATGTTGCAATTTCTATACTATATCTTGCAATTCATACGTATGTCACATATCATGTAGCACATATCATATACATACAGCATTTAGATTTGTTATATATATAAATATACATAGGTACACAAATGGTAAATTCATAGACATATAGACATATAGACATATAGATGAATAGATCAATAGACAGACAGACAGACAGACAGACAGACAGATAGATAGATAGATAGATCAATAGACAGACAAACAGACAAACAAATAGATAGATTGCTTGTAGCTTGTTTGATATAATACCATAGAGAACTCGATGCCCGGCCGCCGGCCGCCGGCCAGCGTCACTGACAGACTGAGCACCAGGACCGTTAAGGACCACACCAGGTACATGGCGACCTCAGGGCGCAGTTCTGGGAGGATTCCAGACGTGTCCAAACTGTGCTCTGGGCAATAATATACAGGTCATATCCCTCAATTTATATCTGGGTAAATTATAATATTTCACTAACCTGAAATAAGGCCATTTTGGGATGATTCCCCTTACTAACCATGATTCCAGTGAGGTCGCAGTGAGGTCGTTATAATTTACCCAGATTTATATGTTGCTTAAACATGAAACATGCACAAACCATCACAAGTCTGTCTAACAGCAGCATCTGAATCGTCCCAATCTCCACTTCCCGAAAAATCTGATAGAAAAGAAGAGTCCGTGAGATCTGATATTCATCATGTATATATATTATATATATATATATATTCCTAGTATTGATTATGTGCTGCACATACAGTATGATATGAGGACTTTATGAAATAATCAAGATGCCGATACATTCAATATTCAACCGGCTTCAAATGATTTACTCGAATAGGGTACCAACATGGAAATGTATGGTCCATTTGTTTATTGTACTCCAGGATATGTTTCCGAGCTTGTGTCTTCCAACATTGTGTGCCTGATATATGGGTGTCAAGAAAATGCGGGACACTCCAAAAGTTAATCCTGCTGGATTCAGATCGATTCGGATTTCCCTCATTTTCTCGAAGGATCCATTCCAGGAAATCACGACCAGTATTCCAACTGCAGTGTGGGTGAGCATCATTTCCGTCTTTATGTTTCCTCCTTGCCAAGCCTCCAGAATTAGGCCGAATGTATCCAAATGCAGTAATCCAACATTGCATGCCTTCTTAATTGGAGTTTCGAGCATTTGAACCACTTGGAACTTTCTCAAAGACCTTTTTTCACGTGTCTCAAGATTGGGGATCTCTAGCTCCATCTTGAGGGAGATCAGAAACAACTCATCAAACTTTGTTCCCAAGAGGTCGATGTAGATTCTTCACTCAAAAACCAGTTGTTTTTGTTGAGTTTCATCCAACCAATGTCTACATCAAATATGAAAGTCTATTTGGATCTATTTGGATCATCCCAAGTCACATAATGTCATAATGTCACGGTCACAATGAATGACGTAGTCACCTTCTTTTGGGACTTGGGGGGCCATCCAACTCGCCACGTTTTGGGCAGCGCACACAAACGACCACTAGGAAGATTGCCCTCAGCCAGGTCCAGGCACATAGAAAGCATGGCGCAGAATTTCAACATCTTTCAACCCATCCCAAAAATATGAAAGCCCGGTCCTATATTTATCATTTATATTCATTTATCATCCCGGGAAATGAATGGACATGATACCTGAAGTATGCACAGATCAGTCACAACTTTAAATTCCGATTTTGTGATTTTGATATGCAAAATGAATTTTGGATCCTCAGGAACACAAAAAAAATACACAGCCTATGGTACATGGAATACACAGGAACCTCCAGAAATCACTTCCGGGAGTTTCTGGATGAAATTGCAGGGACGATCCTGCACCGGAGCCGTTCTTTCATCGCTTGCGAACCATCTGGAGCTCTAGCCGCTAATAGGGCCTATTTTCCTTCCAGAAACAATAAAAGTTTTGATAAAAAACATTTGGGTCACCGAGAATACCTGCTTGAACAGTAGCCATATGCTGCGCTCCATGAACAGTGACTTTTCTCCAACGTGAGCCAAGCAAGATAGGTACACCACCATGCTAAAACCCATCTCCATGGCGCTGGACTCTTTACCCGTTCACCACTCAAAATCACCAAATAGGTCTGCCGGTTACCTTATGGGTTTGTCTGAAAATACATGATACACCCCAAATCTATCAACATCTCATTGTTTCTCATCATCAAAATATATGATACACATTGATACACACCCAAAAATTATCAACTGTTCATGGTATTCTCATCAAAATCTCTCAAAATCTGATGATTTCTCATCAAAATCTATCAAACAATGATGGTATTCTCATGGTATTCTCATGGTTTATCATCATCTTTCTCATCCAAAAAAACATTTGGGGGGTAGGTCTACTACCCCGTGATCGCCAAGCTGCAGCAGAACTAACGCTCCACCAGATGGCAGGCCGCAGACCATCGTTGCCTTGATGAATTCGAACGGATTTTAAGGGATTTTGTTGCATCAAATCTTAGGTTTCCTTCGTGGATCTTTGTGGATCTTAATATCATGGTTTTGATGGCATTTTAGAGATTTTAATGGATTTATGATATAACCAAGAAACCTTAGATACAATATCCAGCCATATCTTACACAGCCAAGTCTTACTTGGTGAAACCAGCATTTGTTTGTTGCTCAAACCACAAATTTAGGTTCATGAAATGGTACCGAACACCTGGGTATGGGTAAATGTGCGGTGTGCCATGAATGGTATCTCCAGTATAATGATGTATAATGTGTATACTGTATATATATATATATATGTATATATATATATAATTACACATACATGTATACAATTTGGGTGAATGTCCAACTTTGAAGACGCCCCAGCAGAACACGGGACCCCAAAATGAACTGGTCATGTGTCGAACTTGTCACCCATCTTTTAAAAGTAGCTCAAGAACACGGCCCACACCATCCATACTTAAATTCATCACATACACATAGAGAATCTACCTCATGTCATGCCCAACTATGATGAAACCAATTAATGTTGGTAAAATAATAGGATCCACCAACCCCAATTTTACCATCAATGGGTGGTAAACTTGTAAACATTGGTAAACCATCAATCCATATGCGTGGTTCAACATTCAGTTCCTGACGGCTGAGCTGTCCAGCCAATTCCCCAGGAACCACGGACTCTCTGGTATGACAGGGCCGCTGGTTGACTGCCTGACAAGCCAGACCGGCGATGCTGAAAGTCACAAAGGTCTACGAATTGCCCAAAAAATCTGAAAATCAGCAGGACAAACCATTGGATTAAGAGATCCCCTGAAGGATGGAACGGCATGGAGCTCGCCCCTTTTATATCTTTTATCCATCACCATTTTGACGGTGATCATGATTCAAACCCTTTCCATTTTGGAGATCACTAGGAATTGGAATCCTCACCAGTTGGCTATGGTTCAAACCATTTTGGGGTCCATCAAACTATTCCTCCGGCTACTTTGTGCCAAAGACACATCGGTCAAATGGTTTTGGGGTCAAACCCTCCACCCACTGTTGTTCAGAAATGTTACCAGAACATTAAGCATGTTTTGGACTGGTTCACAAGAATCCCATTTGGGGGCTGAATTTCATAAAGCGATAGCTGTGGCTAATCTTTCCCAGAACATATATGACCTGGGTATGGCCATCACCAAGGTTTGCGAATCGACCCATTTAGAGAACGTAAAGCTACTCTTCAGCCAGTTCCTCACTTTTCTTCTTGAAAACCCTCTGGTAATTTTGGATAGCCATATATCACCATAACCATGAAATTTCACCATGTTTTTTTGAAAGTCAATCCTCCATAAATGGGTAATGTTCATCCATTTTCGCCGGCTGATTGGGCAACCGCCAATCTCAAGACGAGCAGGGCAGACCACGGAGATCAGGAAGGCAGCACCAGCCAGCAGAGAGAGGAACTGGTACAGCAGATAGGTCTTAGGTACATCAAAGGCGTTGTTGCTTGGTCAAAAAAAATACATCATCTACACCGAGAATGTACATGTTGTTTTTCTTATTTATTTATCATGGCACTCGCAAAGTTCCAACATGATCCAAGCACGTTGCAAGCATGTCATTTGACGGGAATATGAGACTCATATTACATGATGCTGATGCTGATGCTGGCGATGAGTTGCAAATCTCGACCCTAGGACTGATGAAAAACTTCTTGTGGGTTGCGGTTGGAAATAAACAATTGGTCATCAAAGAGTGCAAAAACCTGCCAGGAGAGTTCAGAAATTTCCCTCTGGATCAGTGTCTGCCCTGCACATCTTTCTTTGGAATGTTGTCATGATGCGTGGTCTGCAGACATTCGTACCCATGCTGGAGATCCGGGTCAAAAAACTCACAAGCCCATTCCTGAAACAACGTCTCACTTGATCTCACTTGCACATGGGTCATAGCCACAAGTATTGACGAGAACAGCAAAATCTGTGGTCTAGGCCTCTGACATGTTAGTCCAAGACTCGTTTTCGACCCACAATTTGGATGCCCCAATGGTGCCGATGTCCCAATTGAAGGCTGATCCCATTTAGTCAGCTAGTGAAATGATTACACTTCCCATTGAGTTGCTATGATGTATTATAATGTATATATATACACCATATAATATAGAATTATATAAGATATATACATGTGTATATACATATATCATTATATAAATACATATACATATATATATATATATATATTATGTATATCATGTATGTATAATATATATATAATTATATGTAATAATATATATATATAAGTATTTGTAAATACATATCAATGTAAAACATGTTATAACCATGGCAATCCATAAGATAAGCGCAGGAACCCCACACCGACAAAAATCCTGGGTGTCGGAACGTTCAAGTGGCTGGGTACTCTGTAGATGGCACCAACTCCTGCCATACGAATCGTCACCTTTTCAATTTTCGGTGTCAGTGGATGAGTTTTGGGTGCAGGTCAATATGTAGATTCACACGTACTAATGATGTCCATTAATGAATATTGATGATATATCATTGATATATCTATGATATAGCCATGGATGATATATCCGTTGATGATGATGATGATATGTATATATATATATATATGTGGCTTAATCTGGGTCAGGCTTGCAGAGATATGTTCAACTTGCTTCCTCCGTGCACGGTCAGTGGCAATCCAAGGAGGCAAAAGGCTCCGCCGGCACTTTGCAACCTGGGACGACAATGATTGGCACCACTGGTGTGTCCAAACTTGGCGGAAAGCATGGGGGCTATAAGTTAGAAGTCCAAAAATCCTTACATGCTCAACCTTAGACCTGGAAACAAGATGAAACAAGACGGTTTGGAGCCGGGTATTGCATGGTATTGCATACTATTGCAGTCCCCCCACTGGCTAAAAATACCCGAGCTACTCAACAAAGGTCTACCCTGGACTTGGGCGCAGTTGCCGGGGATAGATCTGGATGAGTCGATCTCACACCTTCAACAACTGATCAAACTGTTTAGTTTAGGCTGGTGAGGCTTGTCTAAGAAAGTGATAATTAAAGATTCTATGATTAAGCATAAACCATCATAAACCACTCCCGGATCTGCTAGCCAGTGTCTACGAAATCAAAATGCCATCTACGGCTTTGTGCAAAACGGAGTCCAAAAAAATGTTGGACACATCCATTATGCCATTTTCATGGCTAACCTAAGATACTGTATCCTATCCCAAAGCTGGTCATTGACCTTCACAGAACCAGGTTGCATGGTAGAAATCTGCACGCCAGACACCTCCGGCAGCGGTAGAATTCTACAGAAGCATCCCATTAGGTGGAAGGATCCCACGTGGTAAGCTCTAAGAGTCCGAATATGTCTCAAAACTCAATCATATATGTGTATAATGTGCCTAATGCAGAGATAGACACATAGATAAGCCTACACTCTGTTAGATTGGATTGGATTGAATTGGATTCAATTTTATTATGGCATATGATAAGTATGTGTATATATATATATATAAACATACAGTATACAGAGTATGTACACGTGATACACTGCTTGAAAACCGTCCATTCCGGAAAAAAACATCATTTCGTTTGATGTTTTTTGCCAATCAAAAGGCCCATATTCTGGGGATTTCCCATTGCAATGTTTGATTACCGAAGGGTGGTGCTTCCTCATATGTCCAATCAACTGCTAGCTCGACTTGATGAGGCTCCAATCTCGAGCAGGACAATATTGGAAACGCATCGAGTTTGCTGGTCTGGTCAATTTAGCTGGTCCTAAAAAGAACATCACCCGGGATAAGTTTACCTAGCCCAACCGGAGGGTTAGGAAAATGTTGCATCATCAACTGTAAACATTGATGTAGGTATCTTCATCATGTTTGATCATGTTTCGTCCCCACATCCCTATCGGTCCTCTAGTGGTAGTCTATTATAATCCCATGCATCACTTCAACCTCTGGTCATTTCTAGGTTACATCATGTTGTATCATGGCAAACTAAAAATACTCTGCAACAAACGAAACAACACTCAGTAGAATTCATTAGACAGTTTACTTAGAAATTGAGATCTGCCTCAAATATAAACATCTTCAAAGGGTATCAACGTGAATAAAACCACCCCTTAAACCTCACCATGCACCAGTCTCCCCAACGGTTCCGCGCCGTGACGGGCTTGGAGGAGTCCACATTACCCAAAACCACGATGCAAAAGATGAAGTGCACCAGAACTATGAGCCTCAACATGCAGCTTTGAAAATTGCCATAGGTTTCCCCGTGAAAAAAAAATGACTGTATACAGCATATATATATATATATACAGTATGTATATGTATATATATATATATTATGTATATATAAAGATTAATATATGTACGTATGTATAATATATGCATATGTGTTTTTGAAGTTCCTATTGTAAGAACCCCCAAACTCATTTGTCTGACTGAAGATAGGGTACCCAAATATGATGTTTCATCAGCATTACTTGCTTAAAAAAAACAATTTTGAGGTGTCCACCATTTCAGCGCTACTCCACATGCGCCAAAGGAATTTAACCAATGAATCACGGAAATAGTTTTGATGATGAAGTTCTCATTCATCCATTTAAAACAATGAACATGAGGAAATTATATGGCCAACCAAAGTATTGTAAGGTAATCACCATGAAGTCGGGAAAAAAACACACAACAATCTGAGACGCAGCTTTGGTCTGAGAAAATTGGGAAACACACACACAAAAGTCCCATGGTTTCATCGTAGTGTGTCCCGCTTTTCAATAGCCATATTATAGGAGGATTTCAGCCAGTATTATAGAATAGATATTTGCACATTAATACAATAATAATAGTAATAAGACAAATAACATCGAGTGGCTAATAATGATAAAACAACAGAAATGATACGCATGGGTTTGTCCCAACAAGAATGGGGGCTGTAATTTAACTCCAACGAAAATATGTGCTGATAGAAACAACCCATTTGATGAGGATCTCTTATGGGATCTCTTGTGGGAATATATACAATTATAACCAACATTCACCGAGAATGTACTGCCGGTCTGTCTTTGGCAAGACCTGGAACTCATGAACAAATTCCATTACTGTGGTAAACCCAATGATGAACCATCCCCAATAATGATTTACTATACGTATATTATTGAGTTTACCCCAGTATTTCCCCATTTTTGTTGATGGCCATTTCGCCCGTGACTTGATGGGCAGCATGAGTGACGGAGTGGGGCTGCAAAAGGAAATGTAGAATATATACCCTAAACCATCAACACATGTCAAATCCAGAAACATCCACAATGCCTCACACGTGACGACTTGATTTCATGTTCAATGTGAAACCCCAGTAGCAAAGCATAGCAAAGCTTATCTTTGAAGTGATGCAAACATCGGGATCTTTGAGCACAATGGCCAGGTCTAGCCAGACTACTACCCAGAAGATCGTCAGTGCTAGAGGGAAAAAAATACAATTTTACTAAGAAAAGTGGGCATATATATATATAGTTGGTAAATGGGGGCCTTTCAGCTACAGTCCATGTCCATGGATATTAATCATGTTCATCTATCTTTCATGTGGATTGGGTCAACATCTAATTAGGGAAAAGCATGGAAAACCCGTTGCCCTGTTCGGGGATAAGTGAAAATTCCAAATGTATGGCCCAGGCTGCACCGAACTCCTGTACCAACTGTTGAGATTGAAAGAACCTACAGAAAATGGCAACAACATGCATGTTTCCATACAATTTCTGTCGCAAGAGCAGAAGCACTGTTAGCACATCTTCACGAAATTCAAACAAAATCATGCGTTTACAGTTTGGACACTTTGTGGAATCCCCCCAGAAAGAATCATTCCAAAAGGACAAATCTTCTTGCAAACCAAAATTGCTGGTGGTTCCACGTGAGTGCTGAGATTACCCATATACCCGCAAATCAACGTATTATCCAAGAAAAACATATCGAAAAACATATCTCATAAATGTATATATATATATATCTACTTATTGTATATATTTTTTTATTATAGTATAGGTTCATGTTCCTCCATTTTCATAAATTTAAATCAAATGATCACTTTCAATGTGCCGGCAGGGCCCCGGGCCCAACGATGGCCGTCAGGGAGACGGCGCCAATCACCGCGGGCGCGGGCTGGAGCAGGCCCATGGCCTACAGGATGGGGCCATGGCCTGAATTCTATGGTTTATGGTAGATATAACATGATATAACATGATATATAACTCATAGTATTCATGGAGTGAAACTCAACCAACAAAATCCAACAAACATAATTGTGGGGCACCATCCTGCAGTCATGTCAGCTATTGTATTCTTTTTTGTTAAAAAAACACATTTTGGTATACAGACATATGTTTTTGTTATTTTAAGTCTATATAACTGTACGTAGATTATAATCTATCCGTGTAATTCTGGCTGTGGATATGTATAATTGTATAAAAATGTGTTATATTGTTCATGTACATGTATTCATGTTGATGCATTGTAATATGTATCTATGTATGTACGAATATATATATATATATAACTAGTTTGTATTAACATGCATATTTCATCATAGTTCATCATAGTTCATCATATTTCATCATATTTCATCGTATTTCACCATATTTCATCATATTTCATCATACTTCATGAACGTTCAGTCGTGATAGACTTTCAAAGGACTATTTTGGAGAGCATTGGAGAGCTAAGTTGCAATAGACATGTGTGTCTTCATCAAGAAAGAACAACATCATCACCTATGAATAAACAAAACTCAGGTTCACCCAGTATTGTCGAATGTATTCCACGTATGTCTGGGATTTCAACAGTGACGATCATTCCAGTCTTGAAAATGTCAACTAAATGAACAACAAACAACAGTCGAATGGCTGACGATATGCATGCATCGATATATGATATAAAATGCCACACTTCTCAAGCCGCAAAAAGGCGCAGATGTAAGTAGGTGAATGCGAATAACTGCGAATATGATCTGAAACTCTACTGGTTTCCCTGCCTGTGTACTCGCTCTCGGAAATTGGTACGGTGAGTTGTTGTCCACACCGCTTAGCCGTGGAGAGCCACAAGTTCCAGTCGCAGATTCCCTATGATTCCCTGATCCAAACGGTTAATCCCTGTCAAGTGTAAGGGAAGGCTTCTTGGCAAAGGGAATTGGATGCAATCCCATTGTCCGTATCTTTGAAGAATAATGAAGAAACATCTCGATTTCAGTAGCACTTCAAAACTTCCATCTTAGGTCCTGGTATCTTGAGAAGTCTGATCCTGAATGCATCCTCTTCGAAAACTCTTGAACTAACTATTGTCACATTTGGGATGCAGCCATAGCGTTGCCATAGTGTTGCCATAGCGTTGCCATAGGGCACTGCATTGTGACATATGCAATCAGGACATATCAGAAAAAACAAAAACATAGTCCGACAAAAACTCGGAACATATTTTGACACGCTCTGCTGAATTGAAAGGTATCCGTTGGTTTATGCTTGGAACCAAAAATTATCGCGCCAGACATCAAAGGCACCATCTTTTCAAATCCGATCGCGGAAGGGATTTGGAATCCGGCGAATCTCCGCCTGTTTCAAGGAAGAGAATCGTTGCTTGGACGGGGTGGACCGTAATTCACCCAGGGAGTATCAATGTTAACAAAAGACTTGACATAAAAATGCCAGTATACGATTAAAACACCTTGTTTCATACTGTTGGATAGATAGCTACGTTGGCTATCTTTGGTCCATCCCTTAAGACGGTTCAGAAACGCTCCCCGTGTGGTTGATCCTATCAAGATGAAAGGCGTGGCCTGAAGTCATTCCCTTCCATCGAGACAGTGTCTGTCACCAAATCGGACTGCCGCTGATCTATGCGTTATACACTTGGCTTAGCCAGTCCAAAAAATCATTACCATCGATTCTTGGCCGGATTGGGAATCATCCCGGGGGTTGGTGAATCTATGATCTGACCAGATAGATAGACAAGCCATAACAACCTCAGTCACCTCAGTGTGAAATCCCCATTCGTTCTGTCCCGGTGAGATCCAGCCCACCAATGCCCGCACCGTCAGCAGCACCGCCACAGTTCCAGCGCTGCTCCGCGGAAAGTTCAGGCGATGGAAGCGCAAAAGGACCCCAGCCAGGTCGATTTTGAGCTTCCTTGGGCCACAAAAGGATTAAACATGATTAAACCATTGGAATCAGAGTCAGGGAATAGTTTCGTCAGTATTTCGGGAAGTCATATTTCAGATGATTCATAAAATGACATAGAATTCACATATAGAATCATATGGCAGTGTGTCAAAACCTTGTACCCCTGGTGAACATCAAAATAGCTGGTAAATGGATGTTCATCCCTTAGCTTGATCCAAAGGGGCTCCAGGGATGGTTTCTATAGAGGGTGGACGGGGCATGACGTAAACATAAACTAGGCTACGGCGCGGTTAGCGACCCGGGGTAATTCATTGATTTTTCATGATGCTTGGTTCACCAAATCATGGTATTTGCAATGTTTTGTAAAAACGTGATAAAAATGTCAAATCGTAGTTACTTTGGGGCCTACTACAAAAAGTGCGTTTCGTGTGAAACGTTCATCGATTTTCAATACCCCTGAAACGAATTATTGTTTTTTTCGTTTTGTTGGAGAAAATTAGTTACATCTGACCACCAGTCATTGAGCAACACTTCTTTTTCAACTTACCTTGCAAGGTCTTCAGCGTCGACTCTTCTTGGCCAGCTTTCCCAGTTCCTTCCACATGAACGTTAACATCCCCACCCCACCCCAACCCAGTGACGTGACGTCAGTTGTGCATGTGACGCAAGTTAACATGAACGTTAACATCCCCACCCCACCCCAACCCAGTGACGTGACGTCAGTTGTGCATGTGACGCAAGTTAACATGAACGTTAACATCCCCACCCCACCCCAACCCAGTGACGTGACATCAGTTCTGCATGCATCAATTTCAAGAGCAACTTGCCTCCAATCAGCAAAAATGGCAAAAACGCAGGGGTCGTTAATGGCGCCGTAGGCATAAACTATGTCTAGGCATAAGTAAAAACATATGTGAAACATAAACGAAACATATGTGAAACGTATATGAAACATATGTCAAACATAAGACAAAACATATGTGGAACGCAAACGAAACATAAATGGAATATAATTGAAACATAAGTGACACATAAAGCAAAACATGTGTGTGAAATTTGCAACATATGTGAGAGTTGGCCGTCCCCCCTGTGTCAAGCAGTTGCCAATTTGAAATCCAAACCTGGTACAAACCTGCAGCCAATGTGAAACTGATGTCTCCCACATGTTTCACATATGTCTGACATACGTTTTGTTTGCGCAGCACTTGCGTCAGGCAAAAATCTAAGATCTTATTCTGGGAAAATAAGATTTTAGGATTTTGACATACATAAAAAACACAAGCGAAACACAAACAAGACATAAACAAAACACAAATGTAGCATAAACTTGTTTATGTTTGTTTGTGTTCTGTTTATGTTTTGGTTTATTTTTGGTTTATGTTTGATTTGTTTTGTTTGCGATGATTTGCGTATGGCCTTATTTTTATGTTTGTTTTTTGTGTTTTTTTATGCTTGTTTGCACAAAAAACACAAAAAACATAAAAATAAGGCCTTACGCAAATAATTGACACAAAAAACACAAACAAAACATAAACCAAAACATAAACAGAACACAAAAAAAACATAAACAAGTTTATGCTACATTTGTGTTTTGTTTATGTTTTGTTTGTGTTTTGTTTGTGTTTCGCTTGTGTTTTTTTTTATGTATGTCAAAATCCTAAGATCTTATTTTCCCAGAATAAGATCTTAGACTTTTGCCTGACGCAAGTGCTGCGCAAACAAAGGGTATGTCAAACACAAGTGAAACACAGAGCAAACATTGTGTCACATAACTCATCTCACCTCCAGAGAAGATGGAAACACGTGCGCGACAGTTGGGACACATGACTGCCAGAATGGTTTGTGGATTCATTTGTGTTTTGTTGATGAGTCGTTTTATGTTTTATTGTGGATTCACTTGCGTTCTGTTTATGATGAGTTTCCGATGTGTTTATGATTCACTTGTGTTTGCTTTTATGTTGCGTTTACGTTGTTTTATGTTGCTTCTTTACGTCTTTGGTTTATGTAAGGCTCTTAGCCTCAGATCTGGTTCCTATAGACGAAGCCCTTTGGGTTTACCTAATTCATCCCCCTAAAAATGGTACTAATAGGTATTGATCCATACCCATATAAATGGATCCCAATTTAAGTGAGTGCTGCGGGTTTCTGCAGGGAGTCAGGGTTTTTTTAGTGTGGGTGCCAAGCCTCGTTGGATCTCGTTGGATTAGCTGGGCACGATATTTCCCCATGTATAGAAAACTAAGAAATCACCACTCATTCACCAGTGCTGAAAAGCCATATCTTTGAATCTCAGTTTCCCATTTCTTACTTTATTGTTGGCTAATTCCCCCATTATTAGTTGGTTCATATAATCAATTTTTGTGTATATGCATAAATATATATATATATATATTATATATATATGTCTAAAATAAATAGTAGTACATGTATATATATATATATAGAAAGTATTGTATGTTGGTATATCCAAAGGAAACCTATATAGGTTACCTAAAGCACAGGTGCCTTTTTTCCCACTTTCCACCACAGACTTCCGCCATGGAGCGAAAAGAAGGTTTCCAGCGCTGTCTCCAGTTCCATTTTTGTTGCCTGCTGAACTAACGTTGAATATTGAATAGAGGGATATATACATATATGTATAACATAGAATGCAATATCTTATATAGGGGGTATGATTATAACTTATATATAATTACATATACATACCACACACACACACAATTCTCAGGAAGTGGATTCAAAATACAGTCGATGAGTGTTCAACTAAAAGACAAAGTATATCTTCAGAATTGGTATCAAATATGTGTATATAATGTGTATATATACTATACATATGTATGTATATATAGAGGGATTAGTTAAAGGGTCTGGAAACCATCCCAGTTGCACTTGGATCACTGGCCGTGAATTCACAACAGTAGCATCTCAGAGTGGGCCATCTGATATCAATCCTTCAAACAACCAGGTTTTCACCGTAGAAAACCGTGAAAGTTACAGAAAGTACAACGTTGTGGAATCATTTTCCGGAATCCATGAAATTCACCCGTGAGGTACAGGGTCAGAATGATATAGAATGATTTATGCGGTATCTGGGTGTAGAAAAACCATTTGAACTGCACATATGTACGTGTATATGATGTGTATATATATATAATTATGTGTATTCTATATATAACTGTAATATAACTCTGGACTATACGGATTATGTTGGATTATACTATATTATGTATATCATATATATATATACATACACAAACTTGGCATATGTATATGTTGCACTTCTACACATCCACATCCGTTTGAACAACCATGTCTGACCTATTGAAACTGTGCTGGCTAGGCGCTGTCTTTACGAGTTTTTACGCGCACTGGTATCACGATGGGCCCATTTAACTGGTAGATCCTTGGAACATATCTAGAGAGCTCCAACCCCAAGTACAACTCTTGGGAGGAAACCCCTTTAAGGCCCAGTGATTCTGGGATACCGGTATATATATATAATATATAATTTATATCTATATGTGAAACGTTGTTAAACCCCGAAAAGACAGAAAAGCAGAATCCTACCCAACTAGTAATAATTCACTTTTTCTGACTTTTTGTGGGTTACTAATGGTTACTATATGTATTGTGAACAGATTATGTCGTCCCCCTCAAACAACACGACAACACGCCAGAATTCCTGGTTTTGTGCTGGATCAGTGCATTCTTGGGGCCCATTGAAACTTCATGCGTTCATGGCCGCATTATCGCATTGATATATCACTCTCTATCGCTGTACGTAATACGGTATCATATCACAGAAAAATCTACTGGTATATGGATTTGTCTGAAAATAGGATAACTGCCAACCGCAATTTAACTGAAGTATCACACTATTCCCCATCAAAATTCCAATTTTGTGAGATATACCCCATTCTCAGACACATCCATGACACCCATATCACTAATACGATCACTGGCTGTGGCGCCTTATTGCAGCCATCAATTTTTCGCCTGCCTCGGCAAGCCGGGCATCGGAGTGCAAGGACACCTTTGGTCTTTTTCCTGGAAGCTGAGGAGTCGGAGATTTTGAGAAGGGGTTCAAAGGCTGGTCTGGGAATGGTTCAACAGAATATATTTCAAAATATGGATATCAATGGAAGGTTAGATATAAAAACCTGACCCATCTTGATGAATGTTATCCATCGGCACCCCATGTTTGAGCCACAGCCGTTTTTTGGGTCATGAAACCGTGTCACTTGGGTGGCGAGTTACAAACATATTCAGCAACAACATCAAGACTTCACTCAAGGTCTGAGTCGGATAATCAAATCCGGCTCTCTGGAACATCCCCCATGGAAGTGAATTGTCGATATACTATCAGAGTATGTAGTGAATACTGTATCCCCCTGATTGCTTTTCAGTGAACTTCCTCCACATATATATACACATATAAAATTGTCGATTGCCAAAGAGTATTTCCAGAAAGTATACCTCAATCCACATACACGGCAGGTTCATGCATGTTGAAAGTTTGTAGATGTTTATAATATAGTAGGTTTATAAATGTACGACGTGAACATATCACAGATTTTGAAAGCTCCAGGGATATTCCAGATAATGATCCCATGATGCATGGCATTCCCTATTGTGTGCTACCGATGCATACACTGTGTAATTTTGAGCCATGAAGTGATCATAGCTTCGGGCTGTCCCAGCATCAACTGTTGATATCTGCCTTTTTTTGGAAACGAGCCAGGTCTGATAAACCATCATCAGCTCAACCTTGGCCAATCTTCGATACGTTACCAAAGACTTGTCATTTTTAGCTGGATAGTATAATCACCTGGGCAAGAGAATGCAAACAAAAAATTAAAAAAGTATGTATATACAATATAACCGTCAGAACTTTAGTATGACCAAGCAGTACACAACATCAAAATTGATGACATTATTGTTGACTACTGAACCAAGCTTCACAGTATTACCCAACTGGGAATTTCCAATAACCCCCAATGTGACGCAGCGTGCCTCCATCCCCACATGTCAGCCTTGCACGAAAGGCTTGGCCAGCGTGTCTGCCCTGGCTAGCAGGATCTTGATCTTGGAAAATGGGATTGTGATGGAGTGATTCCATGGTTTGTTGAACATATAATACATTATTATACGCGTATTAATAAGATTAAATAAGTATATATATACACAGATATAATTAATATGTAAAGTATGTTGTGTTGAATTATTCAATATGTATGAACATCATTGAACATTAATATGGTTCGCCTTGGTTTCTTGATACCCTAAAAAAAGTGAGCAACTTTTTGTTGGGTTATGTGATGATATGTGTCACCCATGTGCCCAGAACATCTCAGCTGATTATATATATATTATATAGTTGATGTTCTTAGTAATTCATCCAGTCAGAATTTGTGGACAAAAAGACGCCAACATAATTTGTAGGATGTTCATTGGTGTACCATAGAGATTGAAACGGAATGCCATGCGAGTCATGATTTCATGTAGCCCATTCCGCTGATGAGAGGTGATTGACCAGAACGTCCTTTCATAGGTGGCAGGCTATTGACCATGGTATTAGAATTCACAACCTTCCTTAACTCGCCAAAAGTTAGGTCGGACATGATTCCATTTGGGTTTGATTGAAAATAGGGTACCCCAAAATGTGATGATTAAAAATGGTTAATATCAATGTTCATCCATTTTCCCTCTCAATTCATTGCCGTTTGAAAGGTACTAACACAATTTTTGACACACCCCTATTGGGCGTGGCAGTCCAATGTCGGCTGAACTCGCCCTTATGGGAATCAATATGAAATACTTCAAATTCCGTTTACCCCAAAATGGGACAGTTCTCTAGTGCTAAAAAAAACATAAAAAAAACAACAAGTTGTCGTTACCCTTGGTCGTAATCATTTCTTGATCTATGGATCAGCATGGATCAGGCCGAGATCATCCACGGATATCCACGGTTCCGTACACTTCCTCGATCAGCCACGATGTGCAAAACCATTCATTGATGTTTCACACAGAATGGGGATATTTTGTCATTTTGTTAAATAACTCGTCTTATTTCTTACTCTTCAAGCATTTAGGTGGCTTGGAGGTAGCTATCTCATCACCAGCCCCCCATCAGCCCACCTGAAAAGTCAGCTGTTCTGCGCTGCTATCGATCTCCACAGCCCGTTCGGAGAAGAGAACTTTGGCGCCCGACACGACGGGCGCGGCCTCAGACACCTGGCCATGACAGATATGACAGGTATGACGCCCGTCCAGTATTTTAATGGTATTTTCTTGGGAAACAAAAAGGTTGAAACATGTTGAAATAACGATATTCTTACCTCTGAAATATATTTCAACCACTTAAGGGGGACTTTAAGACTTTTCTCTGGATGTTTTTCTAGATCTTTGTGATGATTTGTGGTTCTCAGAAAATGGGCCCCAAAATCTCACTAATTTCATCATCATAATCATATTGTCCACGAATCTGTCGCCATGTGGGGACTTTTTTCTGGGAAGATTGCTATGATTCCCACACCATCATTTCATGTCGGCCAGTGAGTTTCAGTAGCGGACTTATGGTCCACCTTCTTCGGCATAGGACCAGATTGGGATATTGATGGAATCAACTGGTTTCTGCAGCAATTTCGCTGGTTGAAGTCCTTAGGGATCACTGCTGGTGGTCAGCGGCTGTGAATCTCGAAAGGGTGTTTGTTGTTTGAGGTGATTTCCCGCCCTGGCTGGCTGAAGGCATCTTGAAGCTCTTTCGGCGCCAAAACACCGCCAAATTGGCCATTCCTAGGCTAACAAAAATGCCTCCCACGCAAAGTTTATCTGATTTTTTCGAGGGGTATGACATGTCTATGTTTTCATTGTAGCTAAAACAACATCTTTTCGCCTAGCATTTCACTGGTCAGTTTTCTGACTTTTTTGGTGTGCTTCACAAAATCAGCTCATTCCCATCAGCCGAAACGGTAGCCATTGACCAGCTCAGAAAGGTAACTGGCAGCATCTGGCAGCACTTTTTTGTATTGGTCAAAATTTCAGACCCAGCAAACCAGAGATTTGAGTTTATTATTGTTTATTTACCATCTGGTTATTTAACATAGCCATGGACAATGGCCCATTTATAGATGGTTTACCTATTAAAAATGGTGATTTTCCATGGCTATGTTATATAAATAACCAGAGGGTATATCTATTTGGAGCATGAACTTTGCAATCCCAAAAGGGTACTGAATTTTGATGGTCCCAAAGGATGACCCACTAGATTCACTAGATCCCGCCTGGGGGTAGATCAGAAAGTCCCCAAATTCCTGCGCATCAAAGATCGCTTCAGCCGACCCTTTGGCCACCTCAGACTCCAAGGCAGACGGGCTCTTGGCAACTTCCAATGGTTCCAAAGGCATGGCTCATCTTGGAGACCCTGCAACATATGAATATCATATCAATATTCATATGTATGTATATAATTGTCAATAATTATATATATAAATATACGTATCTTTAGCTGGGCAGTATAGTCCTTCAATTTCCATGGTACCCACTCACTCAAATGATAGTATTCAACCTGCGCATTCGCAGGCCCTACACATAGCCGCTGGAAAGTGGAAACATTGGCCCCATTTCCAATCAGCCAGTTAAGGGTATAAAGTGGAGACCCCCACACGTGGATTGTCTTGGTGATTCCCTCTCTTGCAAATGCTGTTAGACACCAAGCAAAACAAAAGACCCTATTGCTCAGCAGGATATCTATTAGTTATGTTCCTCCAGGCGACAAAACTATGAGAAAAAACAAGTCAATTTGACAAAGACAATTCACCTACCAGAGCAGTGAACTACAGATTGACATAGATTGACCAGTTCCTCCAGGCAGCAACCCTTGGTATCCCCGTGAAATCGGTGATTTTCTCGCCTCAGTGAGGGTGACGCGGCCTTGTAAAAGTTCCCCATAATCCAAGGCTGCACTGCTGGCACTGACCACCAAGCTGCGTGCCCGCAGCCTCGGCCCATGGTTTTATAGGGGATTTACACCATTTTAAGGGACCATACAATGGGGGTGTTTAACTAAGGGGATGGGATGATTGGAATGATCATTTGGAAACACTTGGGGGATGCGGGGATGCTGCTAAGCTTTCAGGTAGCTCTGTTTGGAGCGGTTCAGGAGAAAACAATACATGAAACATCGATATGTGGCTCCTGTAGATTGTCAATGTTGAATGATTCCAAGGACTGGAGTCCCGCCATTATCAGTGGGACCCCGGCATTTTCCTAGCTGCTTCGTTTTTGTTTTTGACGCTTGTCCGCCTGTACTTCGTGTGAAGCTGTCCCAACTGTTAGCAGTATAAACTGCGTAGGAACTAAAGCTTTTCAGTTTTCATCTGATGTCAACTTGCTGTCCATTGTTTTGGTCATTTACTTTGCATTGAATGTCTGTTCGTTACGCTTCTTTCTCTGGTTTGGTCTTAGCAAGTATGGTAACTTTGTGAAAATGATCAGAAGTTGGAAATTTACAGAGTAGACTTCAGAAGCTTGCGCCGCGACTCCACACAAGGCCACAAAGAGCACTAAAACCCAAACATCTTGGAATTTGGAAGCTTTTACTGGCTCCACACCGGAAGATGGTGTGCAAGGAGCCCTATTACCACAAGGTAGAACCTGGATACATGCGTCCGGTGATTTTGCAAATTGGCTTGATTTTGCCCCTGGTTTTGCTGAGCCTGTGAAGATAACATACAGCTTAAACTCTTCTTGCTATTGTTTAACCTTTCCTAGCAATCAAGACAACACGTTCAAATCATGTGTCCTGTGTGTTTTTCGAATGCGCCCCTTCAACAGGTTAAATCACTACCCCAAAATCATAACGACTGTTTCTGGTCGTGCGATTGTTGAATGGCTGAATCATAGATCCTATTAAAAAAAAAAAACGCGGTTGCGAAAATTTATCCTACAGAAGAGTCTCAGAAGAGAGAATATCTTATTTAAAAACGTCTTCGCCTCGAAGCAAACGTTGGCAAAACATGTTCTGAATTGGTTAAAACTTGAGGCCGGGGGTGGATGACGAAAGCTAGCGGGGTAGGAGAAAGAAGGAAGGGAAGAGGTGAGTTGCGGAGGGACTGTCATCATCGTGTCGCGGCATTGTTCGTCCCAACGAGGATGCAACGATGATATATTGATATATGATATATAACAATGATATATATGGGGAAGGGGGCAGGGGGGGGCCCTTTCGCGGGAAAAATCACGTGATGTCCTTGGGGAGCCCCGGAATACGTGCTAAAGCAAGAAGACTCTAGCGAGCTGACGCTAGCTTTCGTGATAATGACAATAATTGCCAATAATGATAAAATGTAATTGAATAACGATGATGATGATGATGATGATGATGATGAATGATGAATGATGAATGATGAATGATGAATGATGAATGATGAATGATGAATGATGATGATGAATGATGATGATGATGATGATGATGATGATGATGATGACGAGGATGATGATGATGATGATGATGACGATGACGATGACGATGACGATGACGATGACGAGGACGAGGACGAGGACGACGATGATGATGATGATGATGATGATGACGAGGACGAGGACGAGGACGATGGAGAGGACGATGACGATGATGATGACGATGATGATGACGATGATGATGACGATGATGATGACGATGATGATGATGATGATGATGGTGGTGATGGTGGTGGTGGTGGTGGGGGAGGGGGGGGGCCCTTTCGCGTGAAAAATCACGTGATGTCCTTGAGCAGCCCCCCCAATACTTGCTAAAGCAAGAAGACTCCAGCTAGCTGACGCTAGCTTTCGTGACAAACAACGTATCTATCTATCTATCTACCTATCTATCTACCTATCTATCTATCTATCTATCTATTTATCTATCTATCTATCTATCTATCTATCTATCTATCTATTATATATATATATATACTGTATATATATATATATACTGTATATATATATATATATATTAGCACTGTAGCTTCCACAATCTAGGTTGTAAATGAGATATGTTTTTCAAAAACTAATAAGGATTTGAACATTGATTACTCCACCTTGTTCCCTTTTCCTGATGATTTCCCTTTTGACTTTGGGGGGAGGTTCCGGGGAGATTCAACTGTTTAGATGGGATAGTCTGGAATGTAACTTAGAGACATGTCAATAAACCATATAATTGTAAACTATAGCTTTCCAAAGTCATTAGACACTATGTCATATAGACATCTATAGACCTTATAGATGTTATCTTTTCTGTGGACGTTTTTACCGATACCTCATTTGAGCCATGTGGGTATGCTGATGACCAACGAACTACCACCTCTTAGGATTGTCAGGGTTGCTCCCAACACCCAAGGTACGTTTGGGCTGGTAAATTGGGTAAATATAGAGTGAGTAAATTTACCCCCAAAAGTGGCTATCATTTACCTACAGTTGGAGCAAGCCTGGTGCTTGATCATTATCCCCAATAAATCATTAGAAATCAGCTAGAACCCACGATCCGTGTCCACTGCAGGGCCAGGAGCCGCAATTTGGTACACCAATGCTTTCCAGAAAGTTCCACTGCCTGAAGACCAAGATCACCAATTGACACCCAGATCAAGCACTGATGATTTCAACACCTTTCATGGTTTTTCAGTTGCGTCAACTATGAACTAGTATATACATGTATACATGTATACATGTATACATGTATACATATACATACATACCATAACACAACACAACATTACATTACAATACATATTAATATACATAAATATATACATATTAATATACATAAATATATACATATGTACATGTACATATATTTCTACGTATATGTATATATGTCTATAATATATATATATATAATTAGATATGTATGTATATATGTAATTATGTATACATATATATATATGATTATATAAAAATATATAAAATATGTAATAATAAACATATGCGTGATTATGTATGCATTTCTATGTAAACAAAACCAAGAAGAAAATATGGGTTCCATGCCGAAATTCTTGGGGGCCCCACTTCCACTCGGCCTCGAATCAGCTGATCCCACCTCAAAAAAATGCAGGGGACTGGTCCTACACCTGGGATTAAACATGAGGAACAATGATGATATTTGACATACACATCAATGAATAATGATCAAAACATATGAAAAAATATATTATTCTGTACTATGATATATTAGGAAATATATCAACACAAATATTTATCAACATAAATAGTGAAACAACAATATTTTTTGTGTTTCCGGCTCATTTGTGCTTTGACATCGTGAGACGACTCTTGATCTTGAAAAGTGCCTATCTAAATCTACCCAGCTTGTATTCCAATCCCAATTCCCAGCTGGTGTAAACCAGCTGCTAATCATTCAAAATCGCTTCGGCTCAGGCAAAAACTACCAGCGATGCCTGCTTTGCACCTTGACTCGTACCATGTCGTAGCGCCGAAGCAGCAAACGAACACCGGTTTCCAAGATCTCGGGGCGAGAATATGGTGAAATGTGAGAAGGACATGAGAAGGGTGAAGGTGATGCAAGTGTTTTTGAATATCTGCCCATATATATGTTTATATTATATGTATCATATACATCCATGCATGCTGCCCAAAATCAAGGGTTTGGGCATGTGTTGGCGGTATGCAATATGTACATTTATATACGTAAGTATAAACACACATTGTGTAGTTATACATTTTGTAGATGTAGACAGTGTATATATATATATATATATTTATACACATACTTCTTTACGTACTAGGTATGTACCGCTACACGGGCAAACAATAACGATACGGTCTGCACTTGTGGTGTATTGTGGTGTCCTTTTTGCAAGCTGTAGATCGCCAGAAACCAAAACAGCCAAAGGTGGGAAGCAAATGTTGGAGACCTGTTCCTTGAACAATTGTTGGGCCCTTCCCAGTTCTCACTTGGTGTTTCACCACACTTTTATTGGTATTCAGTCCATGTTAGCCCCAAACAATCCGATTAGAATCAGACCCTCTGGCCATTTTTTTCCAGCGATATCCGGTGATTTTTCCACCTTTTCTGGGAACCAATGGGGAATTTCCAGCCGGCCAGGTAAGACCACCGAAGGATAAGCCTATGAGGAACCCTCCACCAGCACCATCTGGACACCTTGGAGACAACTTGTCCACTGCCATCTCCAAATGCCTAAAAGTGGCCAAGCGCAAATACATGTGGATACCCGCTGGTCATCTAATCATGATGGTAAATCCCCAATGTTTAAGATTGTTGAAGCCCTATGTTTAATGCTTCGTGGGAACATGTAGGAATAAACCCTACAAAAAGTCACATAGAACTAGAACCATAGGACCTGAAGTCCCATTTTGACGATTTTACTAAACCAAACATGACCTAACTGTTGGGTTCTAAGATCAATCTATGGAGGATTGATTACCCATTGCCGGGTTTCGTTGAAACAGGCTACCTATCTTATCGGCTGAACCAAGAAACATAGGGATATCATCATCATCATTGGATCATAAAACGCCGAAGTCTAGGATGATCCTGAAAGCTGGAAGGTGGTCAGTACCTCAAACATGTGTTTTTTGTTCGGATCTATCATCTACCTGCGCACAGATGAGCTAGTTTCACAGCCCTGCTGGCTTGCCCAGATCCTATTCATGGGGAATGCAATGTCAATCTGACATTGATATTAGTGTACGTCACCATGGTCAATTTGTAAAATATTGCCATAGACAGTTACATCACTTGCTATTACCATCTATTTACTGCAACCAAGTTGGGATGGCTATGGATCCAATGACTAGCCATTTTGCGGGTCCATTGGCACCCCTTTCTTGAGCCGTTGGCATCCAGAGGTTAAACAGAAATTACAAACATGTTTCTGGCACATGCCAGATGGGCTGTCAGTGAACATACAACAAGAATCATCCTACATCTGCACAACTGTGGTGCACCCTCCGGCTCATGTGTGGTATATAATTTGGTTGCTTTTCTCCCCTTCTATTCATTTGCTGTGGATACTTTTCCCTTCATTTGGTGCGATCCCAATGTTCTCCGTATCGTTGCTGAATATTGCCGGCCAATCTTAGAGAACCTGCAAAAGACTCAGATGGCGAGTTTGTGTTTCCCCAGTTATCATATACAGTTGTCTACGAGACACAACCCCATATTGCGGTGATATCCCCATAATCCCATAGTGATAATGAATCTAATTAATCCCTTCCTCCCTTTCTTTAACACCCTCCAAGAACCATTGTTGGGTATGGGATGAAATCACATATTTGGATATTTTGGATCCATAACATGGAGCAGTTTAGCCATCCCGAAAGGATAGAAACGTGTTTCCTTGTGGTTATAGAATGTTATAGATGATTTAAAATGATATATAAATATTCAATAATATTCATATTTAATATACCTATTTTTTATTTTCTGGTAAAAGATCCCACTTCTCCATCTTTTTCAGGGTTGCTGCAGGGGAATGCGTTTCGATCCTCCAACCCGAATCCCCAGTTGGTTTACCTATCACTGGTAGATGTCCCGGGGCCTCAAACTGCTCCGATCTTCCTGCCCGTAGACCTCAACATCCACAAAAGGTGGGTCGTTTTTTTGAACCTGTGAAACCATCTGTTTTTTGGTTGCCATGGTTTTATTATGTTTTATTGCAGTTTCTTTATTCTCAAGAGCCAAGGAATTCGAAGAAATCAAGCAACATGCCTGGAATTTCATGTTCTTAAATAAACAGTTCAGTCTCTGAAAAATTCGCTGATGAGGAGAGATCATCATTTTATCCCAGGTAAGAATGGAAATCAATTCAAATAAAACAGACAGCAAACATTCCAAAAAACGACGGCGCTGAAGGGAACATTGAAGGACATGCGCAGGATTTTTGATTGAAACACAGAATATGGTGTAGTCCTTCGCGACAATGTTCCCTTGAACCTATTTCTGCGCAAATACATCACAAAGGGGCAAAACGGTGTTATATAATGTGTGACAAAGTGCAGTGGTTGAGTTCCTGTCTTGAGCGGTGTGTGTTGGGAAGGCATTCATTTCCTTTGGATTGTTTGGTTTCCAAACATGTTCGGTTTTAGGTATTCAAATTCCTTTTTGTCCGAAAACATGGCTAACCTTACTCGTTTGCACAGACTCAAACATTGAGGATGCAGTACATTATATTGGTAAATATAGACAGAGAATTCATGAGAATTATAGAGACTTATAGGGAGAAATTTAGGGTTCTGAAGTTTAGGCTTTTCGGTTTAATCAGCGTCGGTCGTTAGAGAAATAACAAAAAAATACCAGCCCTGCACCTTGGATACCCAGCCTGGCCACTGTTGTTATAGTTTTGATTAATATTGTCGCTATATTGCTAATTATCACAAACATCATCACCACAAAAACCATCATCATGATCATCATGATGATGATGATCATGATCATGATCATGATCACCATCATCATCACCATCACCTGTGAGTTGTGTATTTCAGCCCTAGCCCCACTTCTGGGGAGGACTCCATAAGTTGGACTACAGCCCCAACTAACTGAAATGAACTCTCTGAGTTTGTGGCTGGATTGAGGTTTCTGCATGTTTCAATACCTAGTTGTTTGTTCCGTTCAACTACATGATAATAACAAAAGCAACATGATCAGCACACATGTTTTTAGGATTTTAAAACACTATAATATGATGCGAGTTCAGGCACGGGCACAAGCTTTAGCTAGCCTCCTTTCCTCGTTGTCTGCAAGCTCTGGTTTTATAAGGGTACATCCATTGAGGATACATCCACTTTCGGTGCCATGGCCGCCTCGAGTACAAGTTCAACCATCATCCATCTCCTACATGGACAACCTTTTATGCGATCGCTTCAAACACACTTTCTTTCTCCTACATGCAATACCAGCCGATTTCCTTCATATCGACATCGTCTCCAACTTTGTTTTTGGATTTTGTCACATTCATTTCCAAGCTCACATCAGCAGCACGTGGATCGGATCCCATCTTGGTGGCCCAGCGAAATGTTGAGTGTCCAGGAGACGTCCCCCAAGTCGGCAGCACAAATGCCAACCTCAAACGTGGCATCCAGGGGATTTCATGGGATCTTTTGGTGGATTTGATTCAGGCCAATGATATATTCATCGTGCGATTTCATGGGACTTCAGAGAACACGGTGGTTTTGTTGACCCCAGCTGAAGGTGGATCACTACCCAACCGGTCGAGATACAGCGGGACTTTACCCAACTGTGTTCCACAAACATTCCCAAACAATGTAATTAAGCAGGAAGGATTTTCTCCAGGATGGTAAATACTTGAGAGCAGGCGGAGGCGGACGAAAGGTAGTGTAGTGGGAGAGGAGTGGTGTCAAAATGCTGCGCCCCTAAGATGATACACCAAAAACGTTTTTGCGCAGTCTAAGATGATTTTATCCAGAGCATGACTGCATGACACTGTGTCTTGTGCTGCGTGAAATGATGCACGAAAAGGGGTTTATTTAAAACCCCTTTTTAAGACCCCTTGCAGCAACTGTTATTGAGGCTGAAGCATACCAATTATGCTAGACTACAGGGACATCTCCCTCATGGAAAGTGTGCCTCTAATGTGGGGGCCCGTGACCGCGTCACCCGTGGGAATTGAACCCATGACCATTTTCGGGGGGGGGGAAACATTCCCAAACAATGTAAGCAGGAAGGATTTTCTCCAGGATGGTAAATACATGTAAATACGAGTAATGTAACACACAATAAAACTATCTAAAACTTGGATAAACATTGGGTCTTTTAGGTCTTTTCCCTTCTTTTCCCAGCCAAACGTGAACTCACTTGACTTCCTCGCAGTTATGGGGTGTTCATCAAGCATGATTCGCAAGTCAACCACAGAACAAGCACAAGCCACCAATCCGAAGCCGCTCATCCATTGAAGAAATGCACCAAAAAAACATACCCAGGAATTGGATCACATAACCATGAATCATGAAGTGGTTTGATGCCAAGAATCGGAATATGTGAGTTGTGATAGCTGTGAGTTCTGCTGGTAACTGCTGGTATAAGAATGGCACACACAACCAAATATCAATGGGATTCAAAATATTCAATGGGTTGGTCTGTGAAATGTGTGGACGTAAGCTGTCTGGATCGTCACTCACCAGCCATTTTGCTCAATGACGAGGGTAGATTGTCCGCTCTGACATTGAAATTTGGCAATCAAATCCCTCATGAGCATCAAATATTGTGGATGGGTAGATTGTGTAAACATCAAGGTAAAATTACTTATTTCCCGTCCTTGTGGCTATCATTTGCAGTACCTATAATTGGAGTTCCTGATTCCTTGTAGTGTTTCTTAGTTCCCAGTGACCAATGGACATCCATAACTTGCTAGTCCTTCCGAATCCATCCGGTACATAAACCAGGCAATGCAAAACTCACCATTTGTAGATGAGCTAAATCCATTGAAAACTAATTTTGTTTGTTTGCATTCGCTGTTTGTTTGTACAGGAGAAATTCTATAATCAAAAACTGTTCTGTTAGTTGTCCAGATGTTTACATCTGCGGCTGCTCTTGAAGCCCTCCTGTTTCCGCTCCATGTAAGTATTTGTCCAAGCATGTGTAGATTACTGGCGGCTATCCCTATATATACATATCATATATATATACTGGTACCCTGAAACCATTCACCCAATATTTGGGGCCGACCATAAACATCCATAAACATCCATAAACATCCATTAAACCTCCATTAAACATCCATTAAACCATCCATAAACCTCCATATAAAACCTCCATGGGATAAAACATCCATAAACCCCAGGGGGTTCTAAAAGCTCCATGGACTCCCACGCGCCCAGTCACTTCGCAGCGCTTCCCAGCACCAGCCATCGGAGCCATCGGAGCCATCGGAGCCATCGGAACGAGCGTTTTTGAGTCATCCCAGGGGCGGTCCCCGTTTTGTTAAAAAACGATGGCCGTAGTCCATGGAGAATCCATGGAGAATCCCCAGAAATATATGAAATATCGGATGGAGAATCCCCAGAAATAAATGAAATATCTAGGAGAATCCCCAGAAATATATGAAATATCTAGGAGAATCCCCAGAAATATATGAAATATCGGATGGAGAATCCCCAGAAATATATGAAATATCTAGGAGAATCCCCAGAAATATATGAAATATCTAGGAGAATCCCCAGAAATATATGAAATATCGGATGGAGAATCCCCAGAAATATATGAAATATCGGATGGAGAATCCCCAGAAATATATGAAATATCTAGGAGAATCCCCAGAAATATATGAAATATCTAGGAGAATCCCCAGAAATATATGAAATATCTAGGAGAATCCCCAGAAATATATGAAATATCTAGGAGAATCCCCAGAAATATATGAAATATCTAGGAGAATCCCCAGAAATATATGAAATATCGGATGGAGAATCCCCAGAAATATATGAAATATCGGAGGAGAATCCCCAGAAATATATGAAATATCGGATGGAGAATCCCCAGAAATATATGAAATATCTAGGAGAATCCCCAGAAATATATGAAATATCGGATGGAGAATCCCCAGAAATATATGAAATATCGGATGGAGAATCCCCAGAAATATATGAAATATCTAGGAGAATCCCCAGAAATATATGAAATATCTAGGAGAATCCCCAGAAATATATGAAATATCGGATGGAGAATCCCCAGAAATATATGAAATATCTAGGAGAATCCCCAGAAATATATGAAATATCGGATGGAGAATCCCCAGAAATATATGAAATATCGGATGGAGAATCCCCAGAAATATATGAAATATCGGATGGAGAATCCCCAGAAATATATGAAATATCTAGGAGAATCCCCAGAAATATATGAAATATCGGATGGAGAATCCCCAAAAATATATGAAATATCTAGGAGAATCCCCAGAAATATATGAAATATCGGATGGAGAATCCCCAGAAATATATGAAATATCTAGGAGAATCCCCAATTTTTTTTAGCCATCGTTAAAAACCAGGGACTCAAAAAAAGTGAGTTCCCTATTGAAGGGAAGAACCTTCTGTGGCAAATTGAAACCACTAAACCACTGCCGACCTTTTACAAGCCCCCGTCATCAGGATGATCCATGTTTTGTATGTTTATATATGTATATATACATACCTGTTCAACCCCATTGATAAGATATCTAACCCGTGTGAAATCCGTGGAGCATCGTGGATCCATCTAAAAATGGGTTTCTTATGTTCCTTCCAACCTTAGCAGAGAGGATTAAGAACCAATATTGGAAGGTTCACCAGTGATAAACTTCTCTCTCCTTTCGCTGAAAAGGCACCAAGATCCAGGCAGGCGCAGGTGACCCAGGTGCTGATGATTTGAATGTAGTGACCCAACTGGATAAACTAGGTCATATGAACTCACCGGATGGCATAATACAAAACAAACAAACACCTCTGGCATCCTGTAGCATTTCAATCATTTTATGTCGCATATTCAATTGATTTTGTCATGAAAATTACGAAGTTGCTGAACATATTCCAGAATTGCTGTTGATGTAGGTGGACTGCGCTCTGCTGATGACTTTTTGTGAGTTTACAACTGCTATCATAAACTGTACAGGACTTACATGGACTTTCTGTACAGGACTTCAACATCGCATAAAAAAGGATTAGAGACTAGTCATATTTAATCACTAGTCATTAAATTGCATCTTACCCTCGCTCCAACTGGCATAGACCCTTCCAAATGTGGGTTAGAGTTCTTTCCTCTTGGAGTGTCGATTCTGAGAGAAAAAAATAACATGCCTGAAGTCAATTGAGGTCACTGGGCACAACTACTGAGCTCTCGCGTCCTTTCTTCAAGGCGGAACGAATCTAAGACCCCCCTCGGCCCAAGCTGTGGCTGTGAAACCATGATTGCAAATCGTGAAACCTCTCGCACCGTCGTAAACACGGCGGAAAACATAGAGGGCACATCAGGCTGGCCGTGTTCAATCGCATTCCTCTCAGAATTTCCGGCTATCCAATGTGAGCATGGATGAGTTTCAGGGCCCCAGGGGGGCCGAGTTGCAGTTCTTCGACTCAGCCACAAATCAAACGGACCAACATGTTATCAGTTCTTCGGAACGCGACTGAATTCATTCGCACTAAAACATCATCCGCCACTCCAAATTAAATCTATCCATGGGCCAAGTGAAATATCACAGTAGGTGTGAGGTTTTCATCGAAGATTCATCGAAAGGGCTTCCAAGTCTCCATTCACCTCGGCCGAGCTTTCGGTTGTGGCTTGGTCACGTTCGTCTGTGTCTACATAGAACTATGGCCAACCTTCCCCTGCAAACATGATGTTAAGCAGGGTATCTATAGCATCATATAATATCATCCATGAAAATAACTCAAAAATACAAAACAACTACAGTAACCTCAATCACTATAGCATCAATCGATGAATCGGTTTTGTGTTTCTCACCCCTTAGATCAACTCAGGTCCCGCCCCATGGCCCAAAACAAATTTCTGTGTGCAAGGCGATGCCCGACAAGCTCTGGGTTGAAAGCGTTCCATCCTCCACATGGGCAGCTACTCAATATCCGCAATATGGGTTTCTTTTAAAAAATAATGAACCAATATAAATTTGATTGTTGATCATTATTTTAATCATGTTACCATAAGAATTGCCTGTTTAGAGGTGTTACCATTATTTTGACAGATCCAATATGTATTGAATCCAGTCTCCAGGTGTAAGGAACCTTTATGTTGGACCTGACTAGGATGAACTTTGCAAATTCACTTGTAACCTGGGAAAAAAACGTTTTCTTGGGAAATGGAGGTGACGCACACATATCACATACATAATATATATATATACTGTAAAAAAACAAAATACATATTGTACTACTTGGCGACTCAAAATGAGGGTGACGTGTTGGTCCAGCTTTAGTCTGAGGCCCCCATAAAACAATGAACGTCAAAAATGGGTCCTTGCAGAGCGTTTATCCTCAGGTATTCCCAGATCATCTAGTGTAAGGTATAGCGTATTTTCATAGATTGATATATCAAAATCCAATGTGGGGTACACTACATTTGCTTTTGCGTATCCCAAAATAATGCTACTATATGCTATTCATGTATAGGTCGGAATCACTTGGTGAACACCAAGGGTAGAAAAAAAAAACGTGACAACGAGATGCGATGGGCTCAATGAGGGGGCATATGGTTAATATGCGTTTACATGTTTCAGGAAAAAAATCAAAAAAACATTTTGGCCTTTTACATTGTATTTTGCAATGTTTGGTCATGTGTTTGGGGGGCTGCGAGGCCTGAAGATCAGGGGGTGCACCGATGCTGACATTACTTTAAGTCCTTTTGACACAACACCACACAAACCAAAGAAACAAAAACAACATAAAATGCCTGACTTAGCCTTAGCCAAACCAGTTTTTGCTTTCGGTTTCAGATACCCAAAAATTACTTTACTTCGAGCGATCCCCACCGTGACATTATAATAATGTCGTAGTTTCTGACACATAGTTTCTGGCATCTCATCTGGAAGTATATATGGCATGTTTTTTTCTGACTTTCTATTCTGGCAGTCTTTCTGACATTCTATTCTGACATTCCCTTCTGGCATCTATTCTGACATCCTATTTGGCATCCTTTCTGGCATCTATTCTGACATTTTCTCTGGCATTCTATCTGGCATTCTTTCTGATAATCTATCTGGCATCTATTCTGAAATTCTTTCCGGCATCTCTTCTGGCACTTTATCTGGCATCCTATGTGACACAGTTTCTGGCATAATATGTATCTGCCATATCTTCTGACATTCTTTCTGGCATTCTATCTGGTATATCTTCGGAGATTCTTTGTGGTTGAGGTCCGGCGGGGAACACTCTGATCCGGAGCTTGCGGTGGAGGTCCGGCGGGGATCACTCTGATCCAGAGATTGCTGTTCGGGTCAGGCGGGGAACATTGCAATTGCGATCTAGAGCTTGCAGTTGAGGTCCGGCGGGGATCACTTTGATCCAGAGGTTGCTGTTCGGGTCTGGAGGGGAACACTGCGATCTAGAACTTGCAGTTGACGTCTGGCGAAGGAAGGAGGAGGAGGAGAAGGAGGCGGGCTAGCTGACATAAAATCTAACAACCCTCACCTGACAAGTGGGGAACAACACGTAAAGTTGTATCTTTTTGTCGCGAAAAAACAAATTACTTTACTTCGTGTGATCCCCATCATGACATTTATACATTTTGTTACTGGCAAATCTTCTGGCATTCTATCTGACATATTTTCTGGCATTCGATCTGGCATTCTATCTGGCATATCTTCTGGCATTCTACCTGGCATATCTTCTGGCAGATGTTCTGGCATATCTTCTGGCAGATGTTCTGGCATATCTTCGGCATATCTTCTGGCATATGTTCTGGCATATCTTCTGGCATTCCATCTGGCATTCTATCTGGCATATCTTCTGGCATATTATCTGGCAAATCTTCTGGCATTCCATCTGGCATTCTCTCTAGCATATCTTCTGGCATATTATCTGGCAAATCTGCTGGCATTCTATCTGGCAAACATTCTGGCACTTTATCTGGCATATCTTCTGGCATTCTAGCTGACATTCTATCTGGCATTCTATCTGGCATACCTTCTGGCATTCTATCTGGCATATCTTCTAACATTCTATCTGGCATATCTTCTGGCACTCTATGTGGCATATCTTTTGGCGTGGATACTCGCGGTTGAGGTCCGGCAGGGAACACTGGGCGTGGATGGTCGTGGTTGAGGTTAGGGAGGGAACAGTGGGCGGGGATACTCGCGGTTGAGGTCCGGCAGGGAACACTGGGCGTGGATGGTCGTGGTTGAGGTCCGGCAGGGAACACTGGGCGTGGATGCTCGTGGTTGAGGTCCGGCAGGGAACACTGGGCGTGGATGGTCATGGTTGAGGTCCGGCAGGGAACACTTGGCATGGATACTCGCGGTTGAGGTCCGGCAGGGAACACTGAGCTTGGATGGTCGTGGTTGAGGTCCGACAGAGAACACTGTGGATCGCGGGTCGCAGTTGGACGAGGAGGACGACGAGGAGGAGGAGGAGGACGACGAGGAGGAGGAGAGGAGATGAGGAGAGGAGAGGAGAGGAGGAGCAGGCAACTGACATAAAATCTAACAACCCTCACCTGGCAGGTGGGGAACAAATACCAGTACAAGTTTCTCTGTCAGTAAAAGCCAACATTGTCTTCGAGTTTCTCTTTTGCCTCTGAAACCAGTGAACCAAACGCCCTGTCAAGCAAACAAGAACAACTAATGTGAAAAAAACACTTCGTTGGGTGGGTCTGATGTCATCCTTGTTTTTTTTGTTGTCGTTGTCGTTGTCGTTGTTGTTGCTGTTGTTGCTGTTGTTGTTGTGGTTGTGTGTTTCAGCTTATTACTTGGTTGTTCAGAAAAATGGATTTTCTGTTGGAAATTACTCCACATTTTAAATATACATGAACGGCTGTGAGCAAAGGAGACTACTTCTTTTTCAAGAAAAACTATACCATCAAAATCATAGTTGATTCTTGAACAGAAAAATGCACTTTAAATAAAAAAAGTTTGTGATTGAAAGGTGTACTGTCTATGTGAAAGGAGCACAGCATCCTTTTGAAAGAAATCGCGCGTTCTAAGCAAGTGCTGCAGTACTGATTTTTGTCCAGCATACCAGTACCGAACAGTGTCCGTTTGAAGAGAAAACAGCATCTTTTTGAAGCAGTACTGTATCTCTAAAGTGAATAGTGTGTAAAATACAGAATACACCAGCCAAAGAAAATAACACTTCTCTCAATTCACTCATAGTCTAGTTTACAGATTGCTGCATGAACACTTCTCTCAATGCATACTATATCTTTGAAAGTGGTCCTCATAGTTTTACAGATTGCTGCATCCTTGAAATCATGAGACCTTTCAGCAAAACCAACTTCACATTTTGGAATGGAAAGAACATACCGGTATGCTCAGCAAATAGGTAAACATGTTGCTCTGGTTGGGTGGGCTAGCATATATATATATACATATATATATATATACATTAAAGTGAACTTAGTTGGATAGATGAAAATAAGCCAGCTTAAAACTGAGACTCTTCACATTGACCGTCCTAATTCCTCTGACATCTCCCACAAACGCTTCGAGCAATAACAAACTGTGCAATGAATAGTCTCCCGTTTCTGATACGGGAACCTCTAATTGCATATAGTAACATGATATTTATTGTCTATGATATAATATTATATGTGTGTGTATCATCTATGGTGTGTATGTAAAATATGTATATACGTATGCGTACATTTAGATACGTATACATTCACCGGTTATTTCCAACATGTTCCAAATGACCTTTACCTCAGAATTTGACATTCCAGCTGTCCAGCTTTTCTTTCTCGCACAGCAAAATGACTTCATCATTGTTGGGATGGAAAGCAACTCAGACCACTCCAAGAGAATAGTCGCTATCATCGGATGGTCAAAATGACTTGACTATTGTTTTCATTTGTAAATAGCAATTAACTGATTGCCAAAAAATCAATGACATAACACTGCAAATCATTGCGTACAGGGACGGAACATCAATCATCAAATAGTTAACAAATGTCGAAGCAAATCTATCCAAATCTGAGACCCTTGGGGATCAAGTTCAATCAGAAACCCGCCTGTGGACGGAAGCTCTGAAGTCGCACTTTGTGCAGGCCTGGCAATGGACAAATGTGGGAAGTCCTTCATCAAACGCTTGATAATTTGCCGATAAGTTCTCCATAAACCATATTGACTTGCCAGCGAGCCATTGTATGCCATTGTATGCCATTGTATGCCATTGTATGCCATTGTATGCCATTGTATGCCATTGTTATATGTTTCACTGCATTCCTGTCACAAGCTATTTGGACAACTTCCAGTAATGAGGGATCATCCTAGCCGTGCCAAAAAGTAATTTGCCATCATGATTACCATCTAAGCCATGGCGATCAGTAGCTACATATACACATAACATGCATCATATATATATATATATAGACATACCCATCTATCTATCTATACATATATTATTATATTTTTCATACATCCATATCAATAAATCAATATGTAAATATGTATATATATATATGTAATGTTTTTGAAAAACTATTATAGCACCTTCAGCTTCTAGTTTGATGTGGCAATTTCTTGCAGGGAAAAAGTAAGCTCTTTGCAATCACGGACAGAGCCGCGCCTTCACCGGGCAGAGGTGCATCCTGCAGGTACCACAAGTTGCGAACTGGAAAGTCACCGTTACATCCGTTAAAGTAACAGGTAAATCATGGAACTAGTGGGCCATGGTTTCCGTAGCTATGTTAAATTACCAGGGGATACCTTCTTGGATGTTCCAACTGCAAATAGGGAAAATGGATGCCAATTTGCTCATCGCCCTCTGTGTTATTGGTTTTTGTCATCGCTGCTTACTGGAAACACCGAGTTTCAGCTCCATTTCCCACAATATCATGAGGAGGCAGCAGGGCATGGGCCGTCATGGGTCAAAATGTAAGGCAGACACACAAACAAATATACTTGGCATTTAAATATCTACTTTTTTGCAAAATATTACCAATATCAGATTTTGTTCTGTTATATTAGATGATATGTTGTTATGCTATATTATGCTATATTATATTATAACATACTCTATATGTTATATATACCAGTAGAACCGCACAAGGCAGTGGCGAATCCGTGGACCTTAATGGTTGACTGGTTGACCCAACTCTGACCCCTGCCCCAAAATAGTGGCCACACGTAGAGCTTATGAAATCCCCAATAACAAGGCATAACAAGGATCACACACACATGTGTATATATATACATGCATATGCACTATATAGACACCTAAAATTCATACTTAGACACAAAGTGTGATAAATGGGATAACAATAATTATAAATAAACGTTCCTCACTATCCTTAGATTATAAATAAAATTGGCAGATGCAATCCTAAAAATACCAAGAAGATTGGAATTCAACATATTCAATCCACACTTATTTGTGTTTGGTTGGCGGACTTTTACATGGTTTTACCATGTTTTACCTGTAAATCTTCGCCATTCTCACCGGCTCTCCTGATCCAGATCGATGGGCTGCAAGGACATGGGTCTCACCTGTGGCGCCAGTGGCTGACAAATCTCTGTCCGAAAATATGGGGTTTCTCAATGCCCGAGAAACATGGGAAAATTGATGACATATTGATGACATATTGATGACTAACCCATGGATTTTAGAGGTACCATATATATATATATATATCATATATTCAGACCAGTGGTTGCAAGTCAAAGTTAGCTTAGGCACACGTCCTGGGATCTTCAAGTCAAAGTTTATACATCCTACCCTGGGAAGCTACCAATTTACCACTGGGTGAGAAACAGCGGCAGGTCTGGGTCGTTAAGCGATTCCAACAAAAATGCTCGAAACTCAAGATTATCATCCCATTTGCTTATGTTATAAGTATATTGAAAGTTTCAATATGTTTAAATCATATATACCACCAGCGAGAAGCATAGGCAAGTTATGGCAAGTTATAAGGGGATACCCATGTGAGCGGCGGCTTTTATTTGGCTAAATGGATAATAATATATATAATTATATATAGATATATATTGCGGCGTACCTTGGTTTGTCGAAAATAAAATAATTAGGCTGTAGAACGAGGTAGGAACACCGCGAGAACGAGGTAGGCATCGTGCGTAAATTAAAGCATTTTGCTATTAAAAACAAGTGCGGCATTGGAGAACGATGTAGGAACACCCCGTCAATTTCGTTTTGTACCAAATGGGTTCCGCGGCTCATGTGGATATTAATCACTATGAATGAGGAAGCGACCAACAAAAAAAAGGGCCTGGGTTACACCACATTTGGGGGGATGACAACAACTCACAAAAAGTGCTTTCGGAACACACAGACAGATAGTGATAAAGGAGGAAATTGATTCAACAAGATGCCTCATATCTTCTGTTAATTGTCCCTGGAAGCTGGGATAAAACTTGATGCGACCAATGAACATGGGATTTGTTTTCGCAGTTGGTTGCCATGCTTAGTAAACCCCGTGATTAAAGACATAAAAAGGTTACCCCAAATCTGGACTTTCCATTCCTGGGTGGATCATTCCTGGGTTTCGGCCAAAAGAGACTCCCAAGAATCAACAAGCACATAGAATCAACAGATATCAAGAGATCACTACACTTTCCTTAAGATAGTCACCTACTCAAATTTCCGGTTTGGCTTTGTCTCACAGCCTCATATGCAAACACATCAACAAATGATTGGATAGAAGCAAGATAAACAAGCAAGTATGCCGCGCGTCTAGTTGCTAGTTGCCTATTTAAAGTGGTGGGACCTCAAAATCAGCAGCCTTGTTTGGAAGCATAGCAAGTGCGCGAAATCAAGGTGCCACATTCAAATTGAATCACCATCTGAACGAGCGAAGCACTATGCAGTGTATGAGGTGACTCTTTTGGGCAATTTCTTTGAGGTAATGGTCTTGTCTGATGGGCGGCTGGAGTGGGTACCGTAAACCAACATACAGAAGAAACGTCTACAGATGTCCACAGTGCTTTCCCAAGATCTTTTAAAAAACAAATAACAAACACATTGCCTAGGCAAAACAACTACATATTTCAGGTATGATCTGATCAAATATGTCGTTGGGCAAATACCAACGTCATGTATTTATACAATGAACATAACGTGTATATAATATATATATATATACATATATATATATATGTATGGTTCAGTCATTTTATTATTATCTATTAGTGCAGCACAAACTGAAAACCAACGAACCTCTCATATGCTCATACATCGTGAATAAACAGTGTCAACGATGTTAACAACTCGACCACATACAGGTTAGTAAATCGGCTTTCCCAGCCTAAGGATTCTGATACTCTCCACTATATTAATAAGGGTAGTATAACCCCTTATCATCATCAATCAACCATTGTTTATCTATTGTATCCCCATATGTGTGATGTTTAACCCCCTGTAGGTATTATGAATTATACTTAACAACCCAATCAAGTCACCATTAAAAGCACAAAAGCTCTTGATGGTTAAACCCATGTAAATGATGACTAAATCCCTATTCAATAGCTGTAAATCATCCACCAATCGAGGTGTCTCAAGTGAAATCATTCGGCCAGGCGCCCAAACATCACCACCCTGGCAATGGATGAGGCAGAAAAATCGCAGGTTCGGTCAAGCTCTGAATCAAACAATCCAACAAGTCAGGAAATTCGGAAACATATTATACACATAACTTCACATAACTCAAATAACTACAACTTAAATTACCACGGTACAGGTATAGGGTTCCAAAAAGATATAGTTTCCAGTTTCTTCAGGATGTGACTTCGATGATGCTTCCCCCAAAAAATCTTCGGGTTTCCAACTGTTCTATCTATTTGGGAGTGCCACTTGGGGAATGTTCCATCGCCATGGCAGGCTGATGGTAACTGGCTGAAGACTTACCCTCTGGTTATGTCAAAATAGCTATGGAAAATGACCATAGAAATAGTGGATTTTCCCATCAAAAATGGTGATTTTCCATAGTTATGTTAGTTTACCAGAGGGTACTGGCCCAGTGAAATAATGAGAAACATTGTAAAAGTAGGTCTAGCAATCTGGGATAACATCCTCAAACATCCTCAAACTATAATCCGGTCGGTTTCACTCAAGTTGTTGCATGGATATGGTGTCGCCACGTGCGACCCCTTCAGTATCTTAAAAGTGTTATAATTACAATTAGCCAGTAATAGTGGAATTCCATCTCCTACCGTAGATTGTCAGTTTTATTCAGAAAAAACTACACTATTTGGATCTGACTCTTTGACTATTCTTGTGAAACAACAAATCACTATCTCACAAACCAAATTTTGTTTGTTAGTAAAAACTACACTATTTGTCGAAATTTACAAATTTTGTTGGGCCGCAAAAATGAGGCCACTTCAAATGGCATCATCCATGGGGCCGTACAGGTTCTCCTAATGCATGTACTATGGAATACGGCACAAGGATTATGTATGTATTTAATGTACAACAATATGAAATATCTTATATAGAATACACAATATGCAATGTGAAATATGTAATGTGTGTGTTTTCTGTGATGTGTGCTATGTGATGGGTAATGTGTGATGCGCAATGTAATGCAATCTAATGTGACATAATGTAATGTATGCATGTATAAAGCAGGTGTTGGCTGTAAAACAAACAGGGTGGATGTCGAGACCTTCATCAGCTTCTGACGATTGAGTTCATGTCGTGGGCGCCTGAGCTGAATGGATAGAAAAGCTATCCACTGGTTGCTTAGCATGTCCATGGCCCATGGAATGGCTACTAAATGAGCCATGTATGGAAAAAAACATAGGTAAATCATCTGCAATTATCTACAAATGAGCCATGTTCCATGGCTAAATTTGGCTATATTGGCCTATATCAGGCTATATTAAATGACCAAAGGATAGTGCATAGGTATTTTGCTGCTGATTCCTATTGAATCCTGTTGTTGTTTCTTGTTGGTGGGCTCACAGGATACGGCATGGTTCTTTTATAGATTCCGGTGTTTTAAAGCCATCTACTTACACAAATGGCTTTGCGAACCCACTTCAGGGCGGGGGATTGGATCTAAAAAATGCACCCGTGACTGTGACCCAGACCAATGAACATGCTGAAAAATCCATGATCGTTGACTGTGACCAAGATTTTTCTGCTTCTATAATATAAGCAGGCAGCGAGAAGCTTGAAACGGACTGCAAGTTGCATGCTTTCCCAACTCACATTGTTCATATATACATTGTGAGAGTCACTGTTCACATATATTTGACATGGTACAACTAACAAAAGCACATACAATACTCAACAGATTAATCACATCATACAACAATGATAACAACCGTAGCCGTAACCTGTAGATAGTCAACAAATAAAGATCCATAAAAAAATCATTGACATAGAAATAGGAATACTGATAATCACAGTAACAAACTCTGTACACACACAAACACACACGTGTGCACAGGAAAATATGATGCTGTACATATACTGGGATGATGGTGTTGATAGTAAATGTTTGATGCAAGAAATGATTTCAGGTTGTATAGTATCAATTTATGTACCCTTGTGATTGGTATGTTTGGCGCTACAGTCCAATGCTACCCCGTTGGCTACCTCCATGGCCCTCCTACAAATTCATACAAATTCATCATCATCATCATCATCATCATCCAAATCACCGTCACCATAATACAAAATGCTGAAAGTAATTGACAGACTTTGTACAGAAAAAAAAGGTGTGGTATCTCTGGATCGACACGCATCCACCTTCATCGAAGCACTACTGGGCTTCGTCCCACTACTAGGCATCACTTTTACACTTTGCAGCTCCCCAAATAAGAGATCGCGGAAAATACTAGGAAGAACAGTTTAGAAAAACATGTGTTTTTTGTAGCCCAACGGAACACAAAAAAAACATTACATCTTTATACATCCCTGGCGAATCCCTGGTGACCTTTTTTCTGGGGAAGCGAGCCATTCCGGCAGGGCTAAGCTGCCAGAATCGCACCCCAGACTTTGAGACATCTCCTGGCGATGGGCGAACAGCGATGATGGTTCACAATCCAAAAAATGGCGTTGCATATCTCTATATATATATACACACACTAAATCTTGTGTATATATATATATATAGAGAGAGAGAGAGACTGTATGTATATATATATATTTATATAATCCCATCCCCATATTCTAGAGTTGGTTTGCAAACCTTTTTACTGAACTAGGAGATTTCAAGGAGATTTCATTCAACAATAGCTTTAAGATGATCATAGATGATCTAGCGGAAAATCTACAGCAAACATATCGTCTCTACCATTAAATACCATCACAAAAAATGGTGGTCGTGTAGATGTCCCCTCAACTTGATTCTGGGATTCATCTATATAGAGTGAGAACTATAGTAACCATAATATTGCGACTTAAGTTTGGATATGATTTTGAAAACCAGACATGAAACCAGCCAATTTTGACTTCAATATGTTTGATCCAGAACCAAGTTTTGCCAGTATATGTAGGTGAGTGGGCCCCAAAACAACTCAATCACATTTGTTGGGTATTTGGATGGATATACATTGGATTCTCCCCAGTCTTTTCTCAGTCACCGGGAATCTGATGCCTACGAAAGTGAACAAATATCCATGTTTGGTTGTCGGAAATTCGAGACATCAACCAGCAGCCCACAATGTCAAAACCATGTAAGCACCAGCCAGCAGTGGGGGTCACAGACTGAAAAAAAAACATGCCACAAACTTAAGCACTAAGACTGCAAAAACCATGCAAACAAAACTTCGCACTAAGACACTGCCACCGGATTGATGTCCTTTTGCAGTGATTGAATCAGCAGATTCGAGAAATAGATGTCGCCAGTTTCACTTAATGTTCATTCGCTAGTTACATCGCTAAAGTGTCTATTTAGCTTTATGAAATTGGCCATTTCAGTCCTCGTGGCGATCGGCCTTGCCGGGGCTATGTCAAGATCGTGCTGATCATCGAGGCCCCGATTGCCGATCATCACCATGGCTAATTTATGGTGAAACCTCGGAAAATGATCTATGTTCATGATGTGATTTTTTCCACATCTATGTATACACGTTTATGTGTTTACTAGGGTAATAGATTTTCATTCATATTCATGGAGTTTTTCCTATGAATTTCATAGTTGGATCATGTTGGATCTATTTTTCTATGGCGTTTTGACTGTGGGCCGCTGGTTCCGGGCCCGCCTTGCTCTGTAGCAGCTTCTGGCGCATCCTGAGGTGCCGCCACGCAAAGATCAATGTAACTATATATATATGTGTTTGTATTTTTTGTGTTTACTTACTTATTTATGTAATAACACATATGTAACTATGGATATCTTAACTATGGATATATATATATATATATTATTATGTATTGTATGTATGTATATATATAAATATATATATATATGTGATTGTATGTGTAAATATGTCTGTGTGTGTGTAACTGAGTACGAGTTGACAAAAGGCCGACTGGAGATTCTGATACTCTCTCCTTTCCTCTTAAGGATACTCGACTGGGGGAACCTCAGGATTTCAACTGAGGTTGAAACTTTCTAGGAATGGAACTGATTTGGTTTTGAACAACTGCATCTAGGAATGGAATTGTTAACTGTTGTATCTATAAATATCTATAAATATCTGTAAATCGCATTGTTGGTGAAAGTAAGCACGAATTAATCCGGGGGAATCTCAGGAATCACTTCCACCGGAGAACCACACCAAGCCCAGTCGATTTGGCCATTGGGATGCTCCAGCCGAATGGTGGTCTAACAAATTCCATGTGTAATATTTTGGGGTCAAAATGACTTCCTATTTGCTCCAATCCTAATTATCCGATTATCAAAAAAACATGTACTTCGGCTGCTTGGGAACGTTCGGGGATAATATGGGAGAATATTATGTTTCTCTAAGCCTGCATTCTGTTTGAGATGGAATATGTCATTTGATTATTTAAGCTAGACTTAAACTTGAGCTTAATCTAGGTTTGTTTGAAAATAGCATACTGCCAAATTTATTGGTCGACTACTTTTCGTACTTTTCCCATTCAAATCACCATGTTGGGGGCCCCATTTCAGACACACGCTCTTCAAATCCAAGCAGCTGGGACAAGAAACTTAGATCCGTCGACTGGGTGGGCGTGGCAAAGCCCGTGTGCAATGGGCGTTGGAGCTCCTGATGGCCAAGCTGTCAATTCTGCTACACTGAACATCTGCGCAAAGCCTCGGCTTTGTGCCACAGGGAATAAAGGGATATTTTGAATATTATATATATACATATTATATATATACGTATTATATTTATATATACATATTATATATATAATATATCTATTTTACACATTAGATACATGTACATGCTTATACACATTAGGTACATGTACTTGATTATACATGTATATATTTGTATATATATAACATATATTCCAGTATTTTATATTCATTTATGTTGCATGTGATGTTTTTGCTTTATTGTGTTTATCCATGTTGATCCGATTTGGGGAAACTGAAGGTATCGCTTGTAGAAGGACTTATTCGTGGCGGTCGAAGTAGGTTATGACCCACCTTGAGGCCTGGGTGCATCCCAATTACTCACACCGAGTACAGCGAGTACGAAGTTCTTCGGGTCCGGTGGATGAATTTTCGGCCCTTCTTCTGATCCAAATTGATACACCCAACCCAAATGACCTATCTTGTCCTAGGAAATTTTGCGCAAGTCAGCTACGTCCAAAAACGGGCACCCCTTGGGCCAACATCCCGGAGACCGGCTGGATGTCAACTCATGGTTTCCAACCATCATACCTCATAATTAATCTTCCCGGTCTTCACCCTCAAAAAACCCTCTAGCAATCTAAAAAACTCTTGTTCCATGATTTTCCTGTTCAAACCTCCATTTACTTCGGAATTTCCCAGTCATATTTGATGATACGGATGGGTTTTCTATCCCCAGTCACCACTGTTTCACACATGACCCCCCCATCTCCTGCTTAAGTTCATTAAAAATCTCCTCACCTCAGCCAACCATCTCGCATTGCTAAATGGGAAGGAACAAAGGTGTATACATGTGTATACCCCAAATCCGTTGGTTGACAATTAATTTTACAGAGACATCTATATAGTGTATATAAAGACCCAACGACCAAACAAGTCACAAACTGGTGAATTTAATCATCATATTCTGTGTTAAGTGACTTTATTTTTTCTAATTGTTAATGTGTTTTTTTTCCGGAAACCCACTTTGAAAACATTTGTTTTTTTCCCCGGACAAAAAACCATGTTCCATTTCAGATACACCCGGGAATAAATGCCCAAAACCCGCAAACCCATTGGACCGTTGTCATCCCCAAAACTACCAGCGCAGCTAGTTTGGAAAACAAGAGACTTAAAATGCATTCGGTGGAACTTTTTCAACATGTTTGTCAAACAGTACAACATAGCACAACCTGTATCTCAGACATTCTCAAATGCTAGGGATGAAATATGACTAAAAATTGAATGGGTATATAATTTGATGTAACTTCCCAGTATATCACGGTAATACTAAAAGGCGCCGCTAGGCCCTCAACCGCAGCCACCACAACTTCGGCTGGTCGAACGGAAATCCTCAATCCCAAGACACCCCGCACTTGGCTGGATGGGCCCTTCAAGTGATTGTAAACTGGTTATATAGTTAGTATCAGTAAAGTTCAGTAATTGGGTGAATGACAGCCAAAAGATACCACTTCCAGGGATCATCCAAGCGGAAAGACTGGGGTCGGTGGTCTCCCACATGTCAAAATCATGGCGTGCCGAATGTCCAAGGAGGAAAAATTGACAAAATTTGGCATTTGTAAGGTGCAAGATTTCGCGGTTTAGCCACTATCTTCCAATTGAAGTCACCATGCGCATGGCCAAGGTTCCATGGATGCAGCAAGTCCACTATCCTAGGCGGGTCAAACCGTACCCGCTCAATGCTCATGGGGATTCGATTGTTGGAGGTCTCCTTGTTTGAAGCTTTCGTTCAGGGTCCCAGAGCACAGACATTTCAACAGTCCCACAACCTGCTCAGCTAGAGACAAATAATAATATTAATAATGATATTACCAAGAGTGCCCGCACGAGGCGGGGCGGAAGTTGCCTTATGGTTATAACATAGACCCGGGCAAGCCGGCGGCGGAAGTTTCCCAAACATAAATGACCTATAGTTCGACGCCAGCCTGTCCCGACCGTGTCCTTCCCTCGACAATTTTTTTTCAGCGAGAGACGAAGCAAAATCTTCACACTCCACACTTCGCACTCCACACTTCACACTGCACTCTTCGCACTCGAAACTTCACACTTCACACTCCACACTTCGCACTCCACACTTCACACTTCTCACTTCTCGCTGCTGCCTTCACACTCCAAACCTCACACTTCACACTTCACACTGCGCTCTTCGCACTCCAAACTTAAACTTCACACTCCACACTTCACACTCCACACTTCACAGTTCACACTTCTCACTTCCCACTGCTTCCTTCTCACTTCGCACTTCACACTCCACACTTCACAGTCCACACTTCACAGTCCACACTTCACAGTCCACACTTCACACTCCACACTTCTCACTGCTTCCTTCACACTCCAAACTTCACACTTCACACTTCTCACTTCGCACTTCACACTTCACAGTCCACACTTCACACTTCACACTTCTCACTGCTTCCTTCACACTCCAAACTTCACACTTCACACTTCTCACTTCGCACTTCACACTTCACAGTCCACACTTCACACTTCTCACTGCTTCCTTCACACTCCAAACTTCACACTTCTCACTTCGCACTTCACACTCCACACTTCACAGTCCACACTTCACACTTCTCACTTCTCACTGCTGCCTTCACACTCCAAACCTCACACTTCACACTTCACACTCACTCTTCGCACTCCAAACTTAAACTTCACACTCCACACTTCACACTTCTCACTTCCCACTGCTTCCTTCACACTGTACACTTCACACTGCACTCTTCACACTCCACACTTCACACTGCACTCTTTGCACTCCAAACTTCACACTCCACACTTCACAGTCCACACTTCACACTTCTCACTTCTCACTGCTTCCTTCACACTCCAAACTTCACACTTCACACTTCACACTGCACTCTTCACGCCCCACACTTCACACTGCACGCTTCGCACTCCACAGTTCATCTCATCTGAGCTCTTCTCACCTTATCCCAGCTCATCTCTTCTCATCTCGTCCCTTCTCATATGTCATCTATTAAGCTTTCATTAATCAATTCCCAGCACTACTACTAATCACTGTCGAACCCTTGATGCACCCACTCCATTACGATTTACGAAGTCCAGCTGCAAAAGACAATAGTATTGCGCATGCAGCCGCGGCACCAAGCAACCTTGACGCAGCCATCACAATGCGATCTGCAGAGACTGAGTTGCGAAACACAATAGAAATACGCGCAACTGGGTCGGAAATTGCAGCTCCAAAACCGGATCTTGACGCCAAAGCGAAAAAAAAGACGATTTTGAAGCGCTTTTTAAAAGGATTTTTAAAAAGAAAATTACTCTACTTCGTGTGATCTCCACCATGACATGTCAGGACGTATATTTGGACATATATTTAGTATATTCTGACATCCTATCTGACATATATTCTGGCATTCTATCTGGCATATATCCTGACATTCCACCTGGCATTCTATCTGGCAGTCTATCTGGCATTCTACCTGACATATTTTCTGACATTTCATCTGACATATATTCTGGCATTCTACCTGTCATTTATTCTGACATATATTCTGGCATTCTATCTGACATATATTCTGGCATATATTCTGGCATTCTATCTGGCATTATATCTGACATATATTTTGGCATTCTATCTGACATATATTCTGGCATATATTCTGGCATTCTATCTGGCATTATATCTGACATATATTTTGGCATTCTATCTGACATATATTCTGGCATATATGTTGGCATTCTATCTGGCATTATATCTGACATATATTCTGACATATATTCTGACATTCTATCTGGCAGTCTATCTGGCATTCTATCTGGCATTCTTTCTGGCATTCTTTCTGGCATTCTATCTGGCATTCTATCTGGCATTCTTTCTGGCATTCTTTCTGGCATTCTATCTGGCATTCTATCTGGCATCCTATCTGACATTCTATCTGGCATTCTATCTGGCATCCTATCTGACATTCTATCTGGCATTCTATCTGGCAGTCTATCTGACATTCCTACATGAGGTCCGGCAGGGAACACTTGGCATGGATACTCGCGGTTGAGGTCCGGCAGGGAACACTGGGCGCGGATGGTCGTGGTTGAGGTCCGGCAGGGAACACTGGGTGTGTATGGTCGTGGTTGAGGTCCGGCAGGGAACACTGGGCGTGGATGGTCGTGGTTGAGGTCCGGCAGGGAACACTGGGCGTGGATGGTCGTGGTTGAGGTCCGGCAGGGAACACTGGGCGTGGATGGTCGTGGTTGAGGTCCGACAGCGAACACTGTGGATCGCGAGTCGCAGTTGAGCAGGAGGACGAGGAGGACAACGAGAGGACGAGGCAGGAGGAGGCGGAGGAGGAGGACGAGAAGGAGGAGGAGGAGAAGGAGGAGAAGGAGGAGGACGAGGAGGCAACTGACATAAAATCTAACAACCCTCACCTGGCAGGTGGGGAATCACTGGCGCCAAAATGGAGAAAATCTGCTGACAAATCATTGTCGCAGCCTTCATGCAGCCACTCCAATACGATTTACGAAGTCCAGCTGCAAAAGACAATAGTATTACGCATGCAGCCGTGGCAAGAAGCAACCTTGACGCAGCCATTACAATGCGATCTGCAGAGACTGAGTTGCAAAACACAATAGAACTACGCGCAACTGGGTCGGAAATTGCAGCTCCAAAACCGGAGCTCGACGCCAGAGCGAAAAAAATACGATTTTGAAGCACTTTTTAAAAGGATTTTTAGAAGGAAAATCACTAGCCCCAAAATGGAGAAAATCTGCTGACAAATCACTGTCGCAGCCTTCATGCAGCCACTCCAATACGATTTACGAAGTCCAGTTGCAAAAGACAATATAGTATTGCGCATGCAGCCGCGGCACCAAGCAACCTTGACGCAGCCATTACAATGCGATCTGCAAAGACTGAGTTGCAAAGCACAATAGAACTACGCGCAACTGGGTCGCAAATTGCAGCTCCAAAACCGGATATCTCGACGCCAAAGCGAAAAAAAGACGATTTTGAAGCACTTTTTAAAAAGATTTTTAAAATGAAAATTACTAGCGCCAAAATGGAGAAAATCTGCTGACAAATCACTGTCGCAGCCTTCATGCAGCCACTCCAATACGATTTACGAAGTCCAGCTGCAAAAGACAATAGTATTACGCATGCAGCCGTGGCAAGAAGCAACCTTGACGCAGCCATTACTATGCGATCTGCAGAGACTGAGTTGCAAAACACAATAGAACTACGCGCAACTGGGTCGGAAATTGCGGCTCCAAAACCGGATCTCGACGCCAGAGCGAAAAAAAAGACGATTTTGAAGCACTTTTTAAAAGGATTTTTAAAAAGAAAATCACTGGCGCCAAAATAGAGAAAATCTGCTGACAAATCATTGTCGCAGCCTTCATGCAGCCACTCCAATACGATTTACGAAGTCCAGCTGCAAAAGACAATAGTATTACGCATGCAGCCAAAAGAGGAAGCAACTTGCAATCCCATTTACACTGCGGGAACGATCCTACAGTTGCAAAGCACAATGGAATTCCATCTGCAACTCATCCACCAGCACCACTTGCAATCCCATTTGCATTGCGGGAACGATCCTAGAGTTGCAAATCACAATGGAATTCCATCGGCAACTCATCCACCAGCACCACTTGCAACCCCGTTTACAATGCGGGAACGATCCTACAGTTGCAAATCACAATGGAATTCTGTCGACCACACATGCACGAAAAACAGTTGAAACCCCATTTACAATGCGGAAGCGATCCGAGAATGATCCGCCCATGATCCGAGCATGATCCGACCACACACGAGACCGTCTCGCAACCGTCGCACCGCAGAGGTAGATCATCGAAGTTCGAAACCGAGTTTGTATGGAAAAACATAGGCTTTCGTGCATCTGCTATCTCTCAAAAACGCATTTCGTGCGAGACTTCCTTCAAAACTCCATCGGCAACTCATCCACTTGCACCACTTGCAATCCCGTTTACAGTGAGGGAACGATCCTAGAGTTGCAAATCACAATGGAATTCCATCGGCAACTCATCCACCAGCACCACTTGCAACCCCATTTACAATGCGGGAGCGATCCTACAGTTGCAAATCACAATGGAATTCTGTCGACCACAAATGCGCGAAACACAGGTGACACCCCATTTACAATGCGGAACCGATCCGAGAATGATCCGAGAATGATCCGACCACACACGAGACCGTCTCGCAACCGTCGCACCGCAGAGGTAGATCATCGAGGTTCGGGGACGGACTTTGTATGGAAAAACATAGGCTTTCGTGCATCTGCTATCTCTCAAAAACACATTTCGTGCGAGACTTCCTTCAAAACTCCATCGGCAACTCCTCCACCAGCACCACTTGCAATCCCATTTACAGTGAGGGAACGATCCTAGAGTTGCCAATCACAATGGAATTCCATCGGCAACTCATCCACCAGCACCACTTGCAACCCCATTTACAATGCGGGAACGATCCTACAGTTGCAAATCACAATGGAATTCTGTCGACCACACATGCACGAAAAACAGTTGAAACCCCATTTACAATGCGGAACCGATCTGAGACCGATCCGACCATGATCCGAGGATGATCCGACCACACACGAGACCGTCTCGCACCCGTCGCACCGCAGAGGTAGATCATCGAGGTTCGGGGACGGACTTTGTATGGAAAAACATAGGCTTTCGTGCATCTGCTATCTCTCAAAAACGCATTTCGCGCGAGACTTCCTTCAAAACTCCATCGGCAACTCCTCCACCAGCACCGCTTGCAATCCCATTTACATTGCGGGAACAATTTCTTTGACTAACTCGTTCCCTAACGAACTCTTTCTTTGCTAACTCTTTCTTTGCTCTTTCTTTGACTCACTCTTTCTTTGCTAACTCTTTCTTTGACTACCTCATATATCCTGACTAACTCTTTCTTTAATTAACTCTTTCCCTCACTAACTCTTTCTTTGACTAACTCTTTCCCTCACTAACTATTTCTTTGACTAACTCTTTCCCTCACTAACTCTTTCTTTGACTACCTCATATATCCTGACTAACTCTTTCTTTGACTAACTCTTTCCCTCACTAACTCTTTCTTTGACTAACTCTTTCCCTCACTAACTATTTCTGTGACTAACTCTTTCCCTCACTAACTCTTTCTTTGACTAACTCTCTCCCTGACTAACTGTTTCTTTGCTAACTCTTTCTGTGACTAACTCTTTCTTTGACTAACTCTTTCTCTGACTAACTGTTTCTTTGCTAACTCTTTCTGTGACTAATTAACTCTTTCCCTCACTAACTCTTTCTTTGACTAACTCTTTCCCAAACTAACTGTTTCTTTGCTAACTCTTTCTTTGACTAACTCTTTCCCTCACTAACTCTTTCTTTGACTAACTCTTTCCCTGCCTAACTGTTTCTTTGACTAACTCTTTCTTTGACTAACTCTTTCCCTGACTAACTGTTTCTTTGCTAACTCTTTCTTTGACTAACTCTTTCCCTGACATTCTAAAAGTCCGTAACACGGAAGTTTCTCCCCCTAAACTTCCTTTGATTATAAGACCTTTTTCATCTATTAGAACTTGCGTGCGCCGTGCGGCAGCCAGACCCGTGCGCGCGTGCTTTGTGCGAACCTGTTGCACTGTTTTTGTCACTGGCCATGACACGCAGGGACTCACGTTGCAATGCAGCACCAAGCAAGCGGCACTTTGTTGTCCAAAGATCACACTTCACAATTTCACACTGCAATCTTCACACTCCGCACTTCACACTTTTGCACTTCACACTCCACACTCTACACTTCACACTTCATCGCGTTTCGCACTTCAACTCATCTCATCTCTCATCTGAGCTCTTCTCACCTTAGCTCATCTCATCTCATCTTCACGCTCCTCACATGTCATCAAAGTTACTCAGCTCTTTTCAGCTCATCTGAACACTGCTTAACTTTTGTGCTCTCGTCGAAGCTCTTTGTAACTCATCTTAGCCCTTTTGTGCGTCACTAAAGCTTGTACTAGTAAAGAGAAAATTTCACACGCAACAACAGTGTCATCGTTCTCTTTTGACTCACTGATGCTAATTTTGCTTTCACGTATAATCTCACTCATAGTGTGGTCGTTATCTTTCATTCAGACTTGCACCTACACACTAGATCCCTTTCATGCAGCATTGGCCGTTCATGCTCAACAGTTGGATTTTTTTCACCCCTGCAGTATGTCTAGGTTTCGGCCGCCCATTTGACCCTCACTGCTGCACAGCATGATCCGCAGTGATGCATGCGTACACATGTATTGGAAGGCGAGGTTCTCGTCATGGCACTTAAGCAGATCAATCAAGGACACTTCACCATCCACAAAGACACTGCGGACCCAAGATGCATCTGATTCTGACAGACGACGCGCTGCCCCTGCTCAATGAGCAGTCATGAGTCAGTGCCATGCAGTGCAGTGTCCTGTGCCGTGCAAACAGTAGCCAGGGCGTGGAAACAAAGAGGGCAAAGTGCATATTTGAAACATAACCCAAACCAATGTTCCTGCAATCCTCGGTCGTGATAATTCGTCTGCATGGACAGCACCGTGAATTTTGCAACGCATCGTACACACGCAATGCCATCTTCAAGTTGTGCGTCTTCCAAGCTATGTAATATCAATCCAGAGTCACCGCTTCCCTAAGTCACCACTTCCCAAAGTCACCGCTTCCCTAACTCACCACTTCCCAGTCTCACAAATGTAATTGTCCGTAACTCGGAAGCTGCTTCCCAACTTTCTTTGATCATCTAAGAGACCTCATCCGCTACTGCCTCAAATGCTGTCCTTCCCCTTCGTTTCTGAAGGACCATTTCCAACAGAGGTGCACATTTGCAGTGACATCACCCAGGGACCCATCCGAATTTTATCGGTGCCTGAAAAATAATGCACATCAAAGTTACTCCTGTTCTTATACTGTACATGTTCCTTGAGTTTCTGTTTCCAGCTAGTTTTGCTGGTGACATTTCTACATGCCAAAAACATTTTGACTATCCACATTAGGAGACAGATAGTGAGACTGAATCTCAAGATGATACTAAGGTGGCTTAGCTTAATTCATTCAAAAAATGGTTTCCACTTCACCACATATGTAGAATCAAGCAACAACTATAGCACACAAAATTGAGGGCTCACATGGGTTTACCAAATAAAAATTATGAATCAAACCTCCAAAGACTTCAAGAGACCTAATCTCACCTCTGCAGGTCCCAAGCAATTGGAGGTCCAATCTCAGCTTCAATCTCAAACCTCCAAGAAATCAAACCTAGATAAAAAATTGCCGTTTCTAGTTGATTTAAATTTACCTATATTTAAAAAATGGTGATTGTCCATAGCTATGCTAAATTACCAGAGGGTACATGGGAACGAGACGGCCGAGTTCCTCAGACATCTTGGGGTTCCCCACAGTGCGTGGCACTCCCTCAGGCCACTGGAAGCTGAACAAGTCATCGTCCTCCAGTTGAGCCACCAGTTGATGTTGAAACACTATTATAAACATTAAACATGGTTTCCATCAATAAAATATAGTAAACTACAATGGCTATCAGCAACTGGATAACGACTATAATGGATTCAAACGAGATTATTTGATAGTTATTGGTTGTTGAGAATTGAGTTGATGATTTGATACAGCTCGCTCTGCTTGCTCGATCCCAGAACCTTTTTGGCACAGAGTATCATTTCGCGTTTTGGCACAACCACTGCGTTGTCTCAACCAGTCCCAAATTTTGATGTCATTGCTGTCAGTAGCGCATCGCAGATCGTGCAACGAGTCATCGACGTGCATGGCGTTGTGAGTCGTTGTGAGTCGTTGTGCAGTTTCACACAGTGGATCAAAGGAGTAGATCTTCACATGAATCAATCGGTAAAAGCCAAATATCCTGCAGTCAAAAAGCAGGCTGTGGCTTTGGAAGTCGTTTGGTGTCACATGGGAGAACCCCCAATCCTTCCTACGCTTGCACCCCAAGATCCGGATGGCCAAAGGTAGGAACTAGGGTCACGTGGCTAAGTCATTTGGTCATCCACTGCAGGTCTTGTGCCACATTTCTATACATTTTTTGTTTCCCAGGTTTGCTGACCAATCAAGACCGTGATATCTTGATATATCCCAAAAAGCTACCAGTTTCAGCACCTTTGTTTAGATCCTCGGGTATGGGCCAAAATTGTTTGCCACAATGCTGCGCTGAACGGTTTAGATCCAAGAAAGGGCCAAATTGTGGGTCGGAGGGGCTGCAACAGTCAGAAAATTTCTGACACATACCTATCTTGATTGCTGGTGTTCACTTGTTGACTGCTTCACATCGTCCCATTCTGTACCTTAATTGTTTGTTCTGAAGTCTTTCCTGTATATACCAAAATATATATATAATCCCCGTTGGGCGTTCAACTTAAGGTGCAGCACCAGGTTTTCATCCCAAAAAGTTTAAAAACCTGGAGGGCTAAGGTATGAGCAAAAAGAAATGAAACGATGAAAAACTGACCTGACCCCTATTTCTGAAAAGGAGAATCAAGGTACCAAAAATTAAACCCAGTCTCTCTGGGGTATGTTGAACATCAAAAAACGGCATAAGAGATGAAAACAGCAGTGCTCAGCATGTGTTCAAACAAAACCTTAAATAAAAATCAGAACTTCCCCAATGCCTTGTTGGGTTGGCATCGCAAATGCCAAAGCTTTCAACCTTGGCATATCCAAAAAAAACTTTTTGAGGTAACAGCTCTCCATGTTACACCACGAATTTGTGCCAACCCGTCCTGAACCAAAGCCCCAAATATACACCACTAAACTTCACATCCTTAGGCCTTAGACTTTCATCTCACACATCCCTCTTTTGAACTTTGCCGGGGCTGCTCTCCATGTTACACCACGCACCTGTGCCAACCCATCCTGAACCTACCTTTTAAAGATACATGACAAAACCTCAGACTGTAAGATTTTCATCTCACACATTTGTTTTGAACTTTACCGGAACAGTTTTCCATGTTACACCACGCATGTGAGCCAACCCATCCTGAACCAACGTCCCAAGACACACTACAAACTTCAGATCCGATTTTTTTCATCTCACACATCCCTGTTTTGAACTTTGCCGGAACAGCTCACCATGTTACACCACGCATGTGAGCCAACCCATCCTGTACCAACGTCCCAAGATACACCACAAACGGCTAATGACTCAATTTTGCTTTGTAATCCCATCCACATCCAACCTCCCAAGATACACCTCTCCAAATTTCAATGTTCACCATATAGGCGGCAAAAATGTCGAGCCTTGCAAGAAGACACACACGGTCGAATGAAAACCTGTGTGCGACCTTCAGGCATCTTCAGGCCAAAAATGGTTCTCAGCAGGCTTCAGTGGCTTAAACTACCTGCGCACAACCTATTGCAAAAATGCTCTGAAGAGGTGTTCCCTCGGCTGAAATCCTTTGGCTTCATGGTTTATTTAAAATCAAAATTCTAAAATATGTAAAAAGGGACCAAAAGCTAAAAGGCTGAGGCCTTACATTCTTGAGGCTAAATTTGGCTGAAATCTGGCTAAAAAACCCTGCTCCAGCCGCCTAGTTTCAGCCAGGAGCCCCAAACGGGGATATATATATATATATATATACACAATTTATAGCAATTTATATTTCAGTGTACGTTTATACATATCCCCGTCCATTGATCCATCATGCTTAGTTCTCCATGTGCCTAAACATCATTCGATCCCGGGGTCAATCATCGATGTTCATCAACAAAATGTTGCTGGTCTAACCAATTAAATACCTGATTTCTATGGTGGTATTAACCAACTAAATACGCTAGTTTTTGGCCAACCTCAGCAACCTGCCTTGGTTGTTGTGTATCTAATGTTGCGTGTATGCTTTTGGCTTAAATTTCTACTTGTAATCATGTTTATATAATCACCGTTCCCATTGGTGAAATCAGCATTTCAAATGATAAAACCACCCGTGATGACCATCGTCGCTAAAATCTTCTTGCTAGTTAAATCCTCCAGGAGGGTACCAGACCTGACCCCACGATATGGTGGTTTGGGCGGTCTCACGCCTTCAGTGGCCCTGCGGTAGAAATAGTAAGGCGCATCTGTCCATGCGTTTAGCGCTAATAGATCGTCTGAGAGCTGGAGAAGAGCATCAGCCTGTGATCGATCGTGCAGCGGCTGGGCATGGAAGAAATTGGGATGCGATCACCATCGAAATATTCCATGCTTCTTCCATTTTGACCATGTGGATGAGGAGAATAAGACTTGGATGACTTAGAAAAACATGATCTAATCATGAAAATGCGTTGCTACACCATAGAAAACGGGCTTTGCCCCATGAACCTTGGGACTGAAGCAACACTGATTGGGGACAAGTAGGGGGGTCAGCTACAAACACTATGTTCAACGAGAAACCATGTATTTTATCATCTGCGACAGCGAACATGGATCTTACCACGATTTCGGATTGAAGCAGGAACCGTGAAACAAAATCCGAACCTCTGGTGAGAATCATGGGTGTCACTTTGGAAGTGTACCGTGAAAACTGGGCCAAACTGGCAATTAAACACCAAACATGAAATTTCAACATAGAATCAAAACTGGCAAATTCACCAAATAAAGGCACAACAATGGGGGTTGCACCAGCAATAGATGACAAGGACTGGATTAAGCTAAGAAGAAATGACAGGATCAATGGTCGTTCCCAATCAAACACACAGCAAAAACTTCTTCAAACTTTATGGCCACTCACTTAATTCCCCAAACCACGGATGGTCCAACCTAAAATTGGAACTGCAGACCAAACAACTGGGGCTGTTCGCAGAAACCAGGGTCCCCTTCAACGAAGACTAGCAACGATTGGGATGTCTTATTTGGGATTGCCTCATTGCCAATACAGTCCACGGAGCCGGATATATGTACATATATGTTTTTTTACTGGACATATTAAATATGTAATAATATCTACATAAATAATAAATATATATATATATATACACATATTATAGTTATTTATTCATTTATTCATTTATTAATTTATTTATGTATGTATTTATTTATTTAGTTAGTTATTTATTTTTGTCTAAGTGCATTTTAGTCTCTAGAGGATAATATATGATACATTATTTGTATGTACAAATACTGTGTATTACTGCGTATATACACACACCTACACTTGACTGATGGCTTGATTAATTGATTGTTTGCTTGGCTCGCTGGGTGGCTGGTTGGTTTGTTCTTTTTGTTCACGGTCTTCCTTCAGGTACAGGAGATCCATTAAAGCAATAGATGATCTGGGCCTGGAAAACTGATTGATACCGATCATCAGTTAAAAGCTAAAGATGTATATTCTGATTTGCTTGGGTTTTCACTGGTTTCTCAGGCAATAAAATTGATTGGTTTCTCACTAAAATTGATAATCAATAGCATCATCTATGCTGATGCCCTTTTCTCCACACAATTCTCTGGAAGAGATGGCCAATCGAACAGGAAGACCGTGATCCACCACTGCCCAAACTTCAATGGCTTCCAAACGTTGCCGTTTAGGCAGGTTAAACGGATAGGGAATCCCCAGCATCATCCCGTTGAGTCATTGGATGGCGGAAATCTTTGATGGAACATGCTGCACTATATACATCCAACACAAAGACTTGGCATGAACACCAACCCCCAAGTAACCCCCAACCACTTGGATTGATTTTGAACCTGGCCTTGTCCGGGTCAAAGTCGTTTCGTCGCAGCTCGTTATAGTCAATGTACTTGATGAGCATATGCTTCTGAGTCTGACTCCTGACGACGTCAAAGAGCCCGCAAACACAAATTGGAATCAGCACACTACATATACACTTGTGACAATATATATATATATGTGTATATATATATATATTGCGAATCGGGGATTGCCTGCCCGATTATGTTCCAGTGATTGATGTTGATGTTTGTTGTTCCAATGATGACTTCACAACGACGACAGCTTCCGCATGGCGTTCCTTTTCTCTGTTCCTGCAGTGGGTCCTTGAGCCAAAAGGGCGATTGTCACAACCCTTTGGCTTCGAGTCTTAGAGTGAATTATGTGATAATGTACATTGGTCCGTAGCTTACACTCTATTCGCACCCCCCACGCATAGCCAACTTTGTTGGCTACGCGCAAAGGAGTGTCCCTCGAATTGATCCACTGTATTGCAGTTATTCATTTGTTGAATTATGGAGAGCTAAAGTCCGTTTCAGAACTTCATATCTACAAAGCGGCTTGCTACAATCTCTACCAAAGGATAAAGGTTCTGTTCACATGCATGTAGACACGACGTAGTCGGTGTCTAGCGTTGAGGTTCATCCAATGTGGCGTAGCCAGCATGGAATCCCACTCAAGCAGGTGAATTACAAAATCAAAACGCAAAATAACTATGGGACTAGAAGTTTACCTTCCCGTCCCTTCGGCGGTTGAGATGTAGACCGCTGTAGAAACTCAGCGTCTCATGCAATGATGTTCAAAAAAAAATGTGTGGTTCTAAATTAGCCGGCTCAGAGTCCTCTCAGAAATCATTCGAAATGAAGTAGAGGTAAATCTCGAGCACTGATTGCATCCTCGCATCGCCAGGTTCCATCAGGACCTATGCAGAGGTCAGATCGCTTAATCATCTATATCCCCATCCATAGTATCCCTGTTGATTCCAGTCTCCGCCACGGTGTGAATAAGATTTTCCACCTTTTCCTTGGTCTTTTCCACCCTTCTTTGGCGGGGTCACTGGAGCTTGTTTTGGCGGAGGAGCGGTTTCAACTGTTCTCCATGTCGCTGACGATGATGCTTTCGCTTTTGATACTCTTCCCAATGCTGGTTCTGCTTTCGGGGCTGCTTTCGATTTACCAGCGGCTGGGTTGGTACGTTCACGATCAGCAGGAGTTGGGGTATCAGCAATCGCAAGTATGTGAGCTTCTGTCATGTGAATGCCCCACCTTGGTCGTTGATCTTCCCGTTGCTTGATGTGATTGTAGTCATCGATCGCATCATATAGCTTCTGGAGTAGAGGTCGTGGCAATTGTCGACCATTCTGAAGGATCAGGTGTAAAAGTGAAATTCTTCGAAGTTGTGGACGAAGAGCACACACAATGTCAACTGGGTTCAGTGTGATTGTGTCTTGAAAGTCGACGTTCCTGAAGAAATAAACAGCATTTACCCTATATGCACCTGCAATGATTCTTCTGACCAAGACGTCTTGTCGGTCAAGGGCGTCGCGGGCCGCTGTGGTCTTTCTCATCTCATCCATTGTTGTGTCACGTTTCGACAGCTTCTCCATCTCCTCATCAAAGAAGATATTTTGCAAATCATCATACGTGTAGCCACATTCAAGGGTATATACGAGAAGTCGCTTAAGTACCACTGCCCCATAATATGCATTGACGAATCCCTCTTCTCCGATGTCGTCCTTTTGATTTGGTCGGCCGATCTTCTTGTAGAGCTCCTTCATCTGTTGTGCAGTTGGTTCAATGAGTTCACCATTTTCATCCTCGCCCAGGTAAGGTGTTCTTGAGTCCAGGTCCATCCTGAAATTCTGGTTCTGTTGAAAATGTTTCCATGCCGTCTCGATGTCTCCACAGAAGTTCCGTTGGAATAGTCTGTAGATCCTGACGATATGTAATCCAATCTGCAACGGGAGGATCTTGATGAGCTCTGGCTGAGCATCTCCAATTGTGCAAGGCTCGATTGGTAGGACCTTTGATCCAAATTCAATCCGCTGCATCCACTTGGGGGTACTCAATCTCTGCATCACGAGCTTCTCCAGCCTCGTACTCTTCAATGTTGATTTCATCGACCGCTGTTTCTTCATCATCATTCTCGTCGGTCGGTTTTCCTTCTTGATTGAGAAATTCATCGACCTCATCCTGTTCTCTGAAGTCTCTTTTCTCATCATTGATGTCGCCCTTCTTCGAGGCTTGATCATCATTTTCTTCTTCTGGTTGATTTTCTTGTTCTGGACTTTTCATGGTGACGTCATCATCATCTGGCATCGCCTCATCGTCATCACCATCACCTGTCAAATCGATCTTCACCTCCTCCCATGCTTTCTTGACATGGTCTTTGAATCCTTCTACGAGTTTACCGGGTCAGGTTGGCTCACCTGATTTTCTAGGGAAAACATAGGTGAAAACAGATACTTGGACCCTAGAAAAACACAGCTGGAAAAAAAAAGAATACCACCTCACTAGAAAATCAGCACACATACAAAACGGCATTTTAGACCCTGAAGTGCTAAAAATCTGGTAGAAAGTTCAAATCTGATCCTTGGGCTCCGGCGAAAAATGCGGAGCTTGATGTCATAATTATTTAGCATCAACATCTGAGCTATGATATTCTAGAACATTCATGTCCGGCCTCCTCCCCCCTCCCGAGATTCGATTTTTTGGTTTTTTTCGATTTTTTCGAGTCTTCTCTCAAAGCGTCCTCCAAAATGAGCCCTTCCCAGCCAATAGTCGCCATGAATTCAAATTCAGAAACAATCAGAAATATATCGATACATGTTGCTATGATAAACTATGATATTTTCATATATTTTAATATACGAGCTGGTATTTCATACTACCTCCGGGGCTTCGCAGCCTGGCCCGCCCCCCACATTTAAATGTCGTTACCGTACAGCATGCTGCAACTCTGTACAAAAACATACCGCCTCAGTTTCTTTCACTTCTTTCACTTCAGCAGTTTTTGGTCATAGAAGTTTCAAACAATGACTCAAAAGGAATGTGATTTTCTGGAAGTGACGCGCGCTGTTTTAAATCCAGTGCTTGATTTTCTAGAGGCCAGAATTTTCCATACATGTGCCTCCCACATTTTCAAGACGCCTGCATCCAGGTCCATATTCGAAAACCATCGAAAACCTATATTCGAAATTGTTATTTTCACATATTGGCACAATGCGTCACATGTTTTCACATTGTGCACATGTTCTCCATATGTTCATTTTTATATAACCCCATCCCAATGTATTTTAAGGTGTTTTCATGTTCTCAGATTTACCAGACTCGCAATTCTGGTTTAGGCGTTTTGGACTTGAATATAGAATATTTCAATATTTTTGGCGTACCCTTATAAAACAGCAGTTTTTGGTCATAGAAGTTTCAAACAATGATTCAGAAAGAATGTGATTTTCGAGAAGTGACGCGCGCTGTTTCAAATCCAGTGCTTGATTCTCTAGAGGCCACAATTTTCCATACATGTGCCTTCCACATTTTCTAGGCGCCTGCATCGAGGTCCATATTCGAAAATCCATATTCGAAATGACTATTTTTCACAAGTTTTCTGTATATTAATCATATTTCATTTTTAATTCCCAATCTATTTTCATGTGTTTTCAATTTCTCTGATCTACCAGACTCGCAGCGACGCGCAGGTACTCAAAGTTCCAGCCCAAGCGCTTCGGATTGGCTGTTTTCCAATTGCGAGATGCGGCAAGTGTTGCAAACTTGGACAGGAGAGAGATGGGACTAGATTTTAAGCATGTTTAAACAAAACAAAATGACCTACCAGTGCCCCTCTAGAAAATCAGGGACCACTAGAAACTCTAGGAACGTCCTCCCAGAGATGCTAAAATTATGCTCCTGGATTTTGGGCACTTAAGCTACCCAGAAAATCAGGGTCTCCCGACTCAGAGGTCTCCAAAAGTTGTTCTGTAGAAAATGAGGGGGTTGATAAAAGCAGCCTTTCATCAAAATCGAAGAATTTTCGCGCCAGATTATCAGTCCTTCTTAGGGGGGTTGACCCCCCTGAAATCCTAGAGGAAACTCACACCGGTATTTTCAGAAACATAAGTCTAACTCAACTAAACTAGAAAGACAGAGCCCACTAGAAATTCATAGGCTGACTCTCCAAAATTGGGTCCGTAAAATCCGCATCTTCCGCGCCAGAAAGTTAGGCAGTTAACGAGCCGGATTTCCTAAGGAAAAGGGAACCAGTATTCAGAAACATAAGTCTAACTCAACTAAACTAGAAAGACAGAGCCCACTAGAAATTCATAGGCTGACTCCCCAAAATTGGGTCCGTAAAATCCGCATCTTCCGCGCCAGAAAGTTAGGCTCTGTCAACTTTGAGGTGCTTAAAATAGCCACGCTAGAAAATTAAGGCCCCTATGAAAGCAGCCGATCCCCAGAATACAAACCTGGGATGACTAGGAAATGAAGGCTTACAGGGGGGTTGACCCCCTAGACTTTCTGGCGGAAACTGGTAAGGGGATGTCTTTGAGATCTTCTTCTCGATGATGTGATTCGGCACTTGGTACTGTAGCCACGGTGATTTTGATTCGTTTCCTCCATCCATGGCTCACCAAAAATCCTTTGCACATCACACAAATCGATAATGGCGCAGGGGTTTCCATCAGACATGCGGGGCATAGTCGATGGTCCTCTTTGCTGGGATGATGAGTGACTGCTAATAATGATATTGCGTCGTTCCAATCCGGATGTCCAGGGAATAATCTGTGAGTATGACTGAAGTGACCTGTCCTGATGTCGACAAGTTTTCGAAGTTCGTCCAGATCGGGTGATGATTCATCAGGCACTATGTTCCCAATGAGCTTGTCAAATCGTTCAAGGGTGGCCACTCTCTTCGCTCCTTGCACAGAAAGAACAAGTTGATCTCTTCCCTTTGTGATCATGAGACGGTAGTAGTCCTTTTCCCTCCAATCGTAATACCAAACTGCATCGAATGATTCGAATGGAATTGTTTCTTGGACCAAAATGTGTCCGTCTGCTGACATTCTGGGGGAGAACTTGGCGATGGAATCGTACGTGATGTAGAT